AGTGAAGACTTTCCTTGAAATCGAGTGGCTGGTGTGTGATCAATGGAAGTTTTTAGCCTGTAGCACTTCACTATTCACTATAGGTCCAGGTGTCTGCACTAAGTGAGGCTCATAACTTTGACATCCATCAACTCTGCAGATAGGTGTTCCAAACACTCTTAGAGGTCAGGCAGAGTGTTCTCAGAAATATATTTTCATGATGGCAAACTGTACTGTGGTTCCAAGAGTTTTGTAGCTAACCATCACTGGGAAGTTTCCAGTTTCTTTGCAATTCAGTCGGCACAGTAAACAGCTCTGTTCTTTTTGTTTGTCTGCATTATTTTTTTGATTAACCCTTTGTTCTACCACCTAATGAAAGTAATGGCTTTGCAGAAATTGCAGCTAGTCATAGAATTTGTTGGTGTAGCACAAGCGTAAATACATCCAAACTGATTAGCCTTTGTTGGACAGTGACATATACACACACATGCTTGCCCTAAACACAGAATAGCATAGAACTGAAATGAATAGAATGGCCAATTGTCACTGATACCAGCTATAGCTATTTTTATATCTGATATCTAAAACCAGAATTGGATTCGTGCATCCATACACCTCAAGTTGCTCTTAACTATCTTTATACATTTAAACTGAAGATCTTTGCAGTCAGGACTGTTGGTCAGACAATAGCTATTTAAGAAGTCACCTTGGCCTGTGAGAGATTGTTATGGTTATTTGTCATTATAATCTGACTTTTTGTAAATATAATATTTAATTTTTAAATGAATATACTACTTAAATGTTATCCCATATTGAATAAAGCAACACGTGACACATCAATACCCACCTGGTTTACAATGTGTTAGAAAATTATAAGGAAAAGTCATAATGTAATTTCTGAGTTGGTAAACACAGAAACTGCCTTCTCAAGCATGTTCTGTAGTATTTCAGAGATATCTGTCTAATGTTGATTGATTCATTAAAGTGTTGTCTTCATTTATCTGCTTTAATGTGAATACAGTGCTGAGTCTGCAGGTTGTTATTGGGCCAGTAGTGAGTATGCATTACTTTAGATGAATTGGTTCTCTAATCAGTTAAATTAAGAAAATGGCAGTCTTCCATGCTGAACATCCTCAGCTCTCCTTTAGTGAGCCCCTCTCAGACTGCCTCAAACACTTCAAAGCCCCTTCCCTAATCTCCTTCCATCCTAAATCCTAAAGCCTTTCCTCCTAAAAACAAACCACTTCATCACTTACAATTCAGCCAGTTTCAAGGTTTATAGTTTATGAAATTATACATCCAGGTATAATTAGTTAGATAATGATTTGTGTTAATCAAATCGCGGTTTCTCTGATTCCAATGTTGATTGTCGAGCTCCTCACACCTCAACAAAATGTTCCTTCCATTCACTGCAGGCTCACGGGGCTGATGAAGCCATCTTGTCAAAGGATCATTGTGTGCAATTTCACACAATGTATGTGAGAATTTCACGCTTAAAATAAAACCTTGCTTCAGATATCACTTCATGGGAGGGGTGTGTGTGTGCGTGAAAAGGGGATTTAATGGTGATGCACACTGTAAAGGCAGATTTGTTTTAAATTGGCCTAAAGCCCTGTGCCATGTTTATTCAGCTCCACCTTTCTCCATCTTTGGGCATATTCATTACTTATTTCAACTGACCTGTTCTGCCCATCTCAGGGCAGTTTTTTAAATTGAAGAAATCAACTCTCTTGTGTCAAACTCTATTTAAAATTCTGCCGTTTGTACATGAATTTCTAGAACATTTCAGTCCGTCAGCACGTGGTTGTGTTTGTCCATGAGCAACTGTACACTAGGAAAAAAAAACTGGACTTTGAGGGTGAAGCATGCTTGGGATTGCCTAGGGATAGTGCTCCCTTACAGACTGCAGTTCTGCCCTTGTACTATCACATTGCATCTGTAACAACGTTATATTGGAGTGCCAATATAACAGCTGTAACAGGGACATAAGTATTCCACCTTCAAATGACAGTCTGTAAGTGCCAGTCTGTTAGTTAGTTAGTTCTTCACACATGCTCCTCACAGCAAGAGCCCTTTCGGGTTGGAGGGGTGTGGCTCGGAGGCAAGGCATGATGTAAAAAGAGTGACATGGAAGTGCTTGACATAGTCTGAATGAGAAATTCGGCTGATTGGGTTCACTCCTGCGGCTCAACCCATAGATTTCTGGAATTTTTCAGGTATTTTGTTGAAGTGTGAAAGCAACATAAGATTTGCTTCTCAGGCTATGATGAGATACAGTACATGCATTACTAGAGTCCATTGAATTTTTTCCTTGAAGACAATAACACACAATGCAGCAGTCTTGCTATTGGTCAGGATCAGGCTGAAGTGTCTTGAATAAACTTGAATAGATTTGATAATTTTGCTTTGACGTTGTACCGTTCAGTGATGGTTCAGTGCAGCTCCGTGCAGCTCCGTGCTGAGGGCCATAAGCCAGTCACGGAAAATGTGGGGCCAGCATGTGACCTGGCTAACAGTAAGTGTGTATCTGTAGAGGCTAAAGCAGATTATTGTAGTAGTCTGGCAAGGCAATCTGTTTTAAGACATCCAACTCATTTTAAGTCACGAGACGCTCATCTTAGACGATTTATTGGGTTTGATTAATTCCAAATTAGTGGCTATCCCATCCATGCATTCCTACCAAACACTGCTTGTGACCAGAGATGTTTTTTTTTTTTTTTTTTTTTTACAATATATGTATGACGTGTGATTTTCAGGAACTTAGAATAGAAGTACTCATGGCAGGTTCAAAATGCTTGAACTACTGTTACAATTTCATAGCAAGAGACCATTTTTTGACTAATGGGCCTCCTCTCCAGTCCTTTACTGCCATCTTTAAGCTGTCGGCTCTTTAATGAAGGCATAGAATGCCTCTAAATACAGACATTGGACTAGCTGCAGTATAAAAGTATCTCTTACCTCACTGCGTCATGCACTTTCATTTTAGCCATCTTATTGATGTTTTTTTTTCAGCTAATGTAACATTAAGCAATTATACAATGCACAGCCAGCACTTTAAATTCTTATGAAGTCGTAAAGGAGCCAATGAGTTTTTGCATTGACACATTTTAAATGTTTATTTCTAACTGTGAAATTTTCATTTTCTGTCTACTTTTAATTAATTTTTTTTGTCAAATCACGCCAATCCTCTGCAAGGAGCTTGTAATTAATTGTCATTGATCTTGTAGTGACGGCGAATTAAACTCAATTATGTGAAGGCACAAATGTAAGTAATTTGCTTCACAGAAATTGGATTTCGATGAATGCCATTCAAAGTCGTCTGAAAACATCCTCGTCATGTCTTAATGCCGTTTGTTTTTTTCTCTGGTTACTGGTTGACGCTCAAAGTATAATTGTAGCAGAAATGGTGTCATTGAACATTAGGCGTCTTTCTATTAGTCAGATGATGAATGTGTTATGTGAAAGCTTTCTGCAGCATGACACGGCTGTGGATTTAATTTTTACACATTTCATGTTTTGATTAGCATTTAACAAAGAACCAAGGAAATATTTTTATATTGCTCTCCATTATTGATGTACTGTAGAAAAGGTCTATGATTATATGATGAGAAATAACACATACAAATGTAAGCTATTAGCTTAAAGTAATCCTGATCTAAACCTTATTTTGGAGGCGGAATATTTCAGAAATGTGGCAACTATTGTAAAAGCCCACCGTACGGCTGTATCAAACATGCATGCTGAGATACAGTACTTCTCAACAAATCCACAAATGTCTATTGTGCTGCCATCATTGATTTCCTAACTTTGATTGTTCAGGCTACCACAGCAGTTCTTTGTTAGTAGGGATTAGCTTGAATGCATGACCTAACTGCATTGAATTTATCAGACAGTTTACTTTGAAACTGACTGACCACGTGTTTAAGGACAGAGGGGTTTACATGAGGTCAGAGAAGAAGCAAATAAAGAATAACGGTTACATCTTCCTCAAAGTACTTTCTCATAAGTGATACTGCTTGTAAATAGGCCTTGCACTGAACAATTATATAATGTTGCAGTCTGCAGCCCTAGTTGACTTCACATAGCATTGGGCCTATGTGAAGGCATGATATTTTCTTTATACGTTTTTGTTACTGTCTTATGGTCAGGAAATCTGCCTGGCTTGGTTACCTCTCCCTGTGTCTCTGTCCCTCACAGCTTGCTGTCAGCCATAGTTAGCCTCACCTTTACAGATCAGTAACACAGACTGCCACCCCTCCCTCTGCTCAGCAGTTAGCCCATATTGGCTGTAAGAGAGCTGCATCTCCCCTGCGTCATCCTGTGTCCTACACTATCCCAAATATGTCACTCACTGCAGCTTTTTCTGCAGCCGCCAGCTACAACAGAGTCATGTCTGCAGCTGGGATGCTTCCCAGGCCGTATAGCACATAAAGCTTTATATAATGAGCCCAGCTACTGCTCCTCAAACCATAGCAAGAGCATTTATCATCCCTGTGATACTCCTGTCAAATCTTGTTAACCGATACAGATTGTGGATATGTCTGGCTCTTGGAACATTTCTGGTGCAGATTATAAAATCATGCTGAAAGTATTTGTCTTCAGTTCAGATAAATTGAACAATAGAACTTAAAGCATAATACAGCCTTTTGTATTTTCGATGGGGAACGATGTGCAAAAGGAGATTTTCTTTCAGCCAAATGTTACTAAGTGCACATTGTTGGCTTGCCTGCTTCTGTTTTAGGTGATGCCTTCATTATGTGCAGTGTTTCTAAAAATAGTAATAAAAGCATCCAGAAACTCATTAAAAATTTACTTTGGCTGCAGTGGGAGGGAAGATAAAACTCAAACTAGCAGTTTGAGAAAACACTGATGATATCAGACTATTGAAACACACTTGAATAGCTAATAAGTAACAGTGAAAGAGAAAGAAGTTGCTGATCAAGATTTTCACCTATGCGCAGAAATAATTTGCATAAACTTTTTTAATCAGCACTGACATTTCCTCTTTCTGTTTCTCACAGTCAATAAGCACAAACCATGGATCGAGACAACGTACCACGGGATCGTAACGGAAAATGACGACAAAGTACTACTAGACCCCCCTCTTATTGCATTGGACAAGGACGCTCCTCTTCGCTACGCAGGTGAGAGAGGTTTAATGCTACCGCTGCTTTAACTTTACTCCTTCAGCTTCAACTGAAATCACCAGATTCAACTCCAAATAAAAGAAAAAACTCATTCATTGACCTGTGTTATAAAGCTTTGAGATCATGTGATAGGAAAAGGATGCAAACAAATGTTCTTGTGTGAGTATTGTACATTTCATCAACATTCAAATGACTCAGACAGTGACCTTAATAAGACATGAAATCCCTTTTCAAATGGGTTATGAACTGAGCTTAAGATTCTTGTAAATGGAAACCACAAAAATATTTTTTACTCTACCAACTCTAGTGTCAGCTTCATGTTTTAAATCATCATAGTCTCTTTGTCTGTAAGATGTTTTATAATCCATACAGTAACTACCATTCTCTCTGTGATAGGCTATAATTGAGGTTAAAGGTGCATTAATAAACACAAGAAATTCCCTAACTCTCTAGTAAATAAGGCAATTGCTCTGCTAAGTGTTGAATTATTTTTGTATGCACTTCTGGGAGGAGACTTTGTGACTTAATGTCATTCTGTTCATTACATATTTATGACATGCCTGTCATACTGACATACATCTGGCTACCATATCCTCCATATTGGCACTTTTGATATTCATATCAAAATACTCTTTCATGTTTTTTCTTCCTCCCAGTAGAGAGGCACAATTAGTGTCCTTTATGTACCACAGTAGAATTAGCTCTGGGGTTTTAATCACATCAGGATCGACTTTGGCCAGGATTCAAAGCCTCATAGCACTGGAAATGATTTGCCACCATTTCACATCACGAGTCGTGTGATCTCTTGTCTGCTTCTCTCCTCACACTCAGCGCTCTCACTTAACTTGATGCAGCCGTCTCTATCTCATATTATTTCTCCTGATTTAGCAAGTGAGGCTTTAACATACTCATGTCTGTCAGAGGAGATGCCAAATGTGTTATTCTTCACAGAGTTACGTGAAGACTAATCGTTCTCGAGAGCTGATCTGCCTGACAGCACATGAAAACTACTGCAAGGGGGCCCATCATTTCTGAGAAGCAGCAAATTGAATAATTTACCCATTCTCTGCATGATGTTTACCTCCATTCACAATGAATAAAGAGCTTGGGGCTCCCCTTTTGATGGGCAGTGCTTTTGCGAATGGACCTTATGTCCCTGTGAACTAGCTCTCTGGAGACAGGGCGAGTAAGCTGGTTTCACGTGGCAGCAGGGGTGAGTGCCTGTGTCATGTCCGCCTCCTTATAGCCGGTCCGTCCGTGCCAACACACAGCTGCCTGTAAAGCTGACCCATAGGCCAGCAAAGGGCCAATCAGAAACTCCGGAGACAGATCAGGGATTATGTGAAAATTTAGCATGAATGAGAAGCCAGTTTATGTGTTTGTATTTGACTGATGTACTTGAGACTGGCTTTGACTGTCTTTTTGTGGGTTTTGGGGGGAAAATCAAAGGGATGTAACTGAATTTAGAGCTAAAGCAGGGAGCACTCACCCACCAGGTCAGCCTGTTATGATTTATATACTCTAGGAATATTAAACATTTGGACAGCTGCAACATATTGACCTGCTAGTCAACTCATAGTCCCGTATTATAACTCACTGTATTTATGTAGTACTAGCAGTTAAATAACTATATGTCAGGACTGTAAAATCAATAAGTAACACTCATTGTGATGGCTGACTCAGCCCGAGCTGAGAGGCCTGTGTGGCGAGTGAAAAGCGGAGGAATTCCTCAAGCCCTAGTGTGAGCCCTTCATTAGAGCTATGCTGAACACAGAGGCCCTCAGCTCCTACTGCATGACTGGCCCTGAACAGCGCTCCCTAATGTGAAATCTGTTTCTAATTGATTAGTAGGTGAAAACAAAATGACCAGAACACAAGAGGCCCTGGCAGGGCTTTTAAAACAAACAGCCAAGCGGAGAATGACTTTATGGTTTAAGTCTTGTTATATTTTAGCATGTCATTCATTTATCAATCTGTGCACTAATTTTATAGTTGTTGGATCGATTGATTGACTTTGCAATACATCTTAGTTCAGTTTTTTCAAAGTAAAATTTACTTTTTGAAGGGCTGACTCTCCAGATAATCCAAAAACATGCTGTCATTAAAAAGATCCATTTCTGTCTATGATTTAATGTTCTGTCACTTTTTCATGAGTTTTCTTTCTTCTAAAAGTGTTTGATGAGAAAAAAAAGACTGCAGATACTTTGCACCACCCTCCTTTCCAGAAATGTTTAATCTTTCCTTTCTTTCATCTGGCAGAAGACTTCTTGCTAATATAAAACTGAATAAAAGTTGTTCTAATGGATCTCTCATTTTATGATAAGAGATTTTTTCTTCTTTCTGTCCTCTCTGTTTTTTCTCTTAAGGTTCTAACTTTTCTTTTAACTGATCTGGGCTTATCTTTTCTCCCTTCCTTGTAGAGAGTTTTGAGGTGACCCTCACTGAAGAAGGTGATCTTGGGCTCTTACTTCTGCCTTGTGCTTAGTTCTTATTATTAACCCACTAACGCAAAAAAAAAAAAAAAAACAGCATCCACACTTTTACACAGAAACTCCTGCCATGCTCTGTAATCTCCCTTTATGGTTTTTCTCGACTTTTATGTTTTTTTCTCACCCTGAATTTTTTCAAGTACCAACAGCTGGATGAAAAGTGTGATATGGGGCTGACTGTACTTAGAAATATCTCTGCATGAGACATCCATTGCAGTTTGCAGACCCTAACAGTTGTTCAGCTGTCACCAGGAAAAAGAAAGCTGCTTTAAAGAAACAGGAGTTTTCAGTAATTTTGCTGCCTATCAGTCCAATCCAGTCCTTTAAATTAGAAAATACAGAATGAAAAGACAATTTTTGAAGTTTTTATATAAAGTTCCATTAAAAAAACCGATTTAAAAGACACATTGGTAACCTCTTTCACACCAATGGAATTTGGAGCTGATATTGACACTATAATTACTATTTCAAGTGGATTAAAGTTCAATCATCCTAAACATCACCTCCGGTTTTGGGCGCGCCTCTCTCACCCATCATCAGTTCTGAGCAGCTACTATGACTCCTGACATTGAAGTCTTCTTCTGAAAGCTGCTGAGATTGTTAACTAATGCAAACTCTCTCTGCTACTAAGTTTTTGTGGTTGCATCTTTGCCTCAGTGGATCTGTTGAGTTAATTCTCCACCACTAATCTCTACCATTAGCATGGCTGCAGTTGTCATTTGATGTGGATGTCAAGCAAGTTGATATTTCTAACCCCAGTTCTCATCCAGCACTTTATTCTTTTCTATATTGTGATTGTAGCAGGTTGAGTTTTCTATGATTTGATTTCATTTGAATTCATTTTGCAGTGTTTTGTTTTAGAGGCACAATTACACAGGAAGACCTTCTGTAGGTAAAAACAATCTTTAGAGGTGTTGTCCAAGGTTTTGTTTCTTTCTTCACAGACCTTTTGGAGTATTTAAGATGAATTGGTGGTGGACTACACTATCACAATGTAAAAGTGGTCTATTTCAAAAATAATATTTTATCTTAATTATTCTTTCTCTTTTAAAGGGAAGTTATTATGGAGTTAACTGGTCTTTAACTCAAGTTTTGTTTTCCTTGTACTTAATTTTTGGGGCTTGGTTTAATGACCTTGATTCAAAAAAATCTTTAAGTGCTCCTGTGAAATGCCTGTCCACATCTTTTCAGTTTCTGCCTGCATGACTGGATGCAATGTTTTCAAGTGGCTTGGAAAGACACCTTCTCTTCTCTGATACTAAATGTCCCTCACCCTCTCCCAACTCCCCGCCCCCTCTACTCACTCATGACAGTGCGTTTGGGCTTCCTCCACAGCCACCACCCACCCCAATCTACAACTCCCTGGCACCCAAAACCTGTGGCTGATTTTTTTTTTTTTTTTGCGTGAATTTATGGTTTTGTTGTTAACATAAATTTAACAATAGAATTATTCACTTTTTGTCTGTTATTGTGAACAAACTCTCTTTTGGCTCTTGACGTGTTCAGGTGAGATTTGCGGCTTCAGGATCCACGGGCAGAATGTCCCCTTTGAGGCAGTGGTCCTGGACAAGTCCACTGGAGAGGGGGTCATCAGGGCCAAGGACAAGTTGGACTGTGAGCTGCAGAAGGAGCACACCTTCACCATCCAAGCGTACGACTGTGGAGAGGGTCCCGATGGAGCCAACATGAAGAAATCCCACAAGTGAGTCTCACTCTGCTGCTTTGGAGTTTTTTTCAGTGTTTTGGCTAGATGGTGTTAAACAGTGCAGTCTGTTTATATAAATGTCATGCATACATTTCTTATTCAAATTCACTTATAACACAACATTTCACTTTTTCTTTTTAATAAATGTATAATATTTAAACAATAGTCTGATGAAATGCTGCTTCTTTTAATACATTTGAAAAATATCCCAACATAAGTAAAACAAAATGCAGTGTAAGACATTTCTTTTTGTCCTGATTATGACTGACTGGAAAATGTGTGTTTTTAACTGTGGCACAAGTGGATTAAACAGTTAATTAATCAAAATGTCAGACTTTGGTGTGTCATTTTGCCATGTAGTCATCAAATGGGACATGAGACAATTATACAGTTTGTGTTTGAGTTCTAACCTTACTATATTTCTATTAGGGCCACTGTCCACATCCAGGTGAACGACATCAATGAGTACTCACCTGTGTTCAAAGAGAAGTCCTACAAGGCCACTGTTATCGAGGGAAAGAAGTATGACAGCATCTTGAAGGTCGAAGCTGTGGACGCTGACTGCTCTTTCCAGTTCAGCCAAATCTGCAACTACGAGATCATCACACCCGATGTGCCCTTCACCATCGACAAAGACGGTAAGGAGCTTCAGAGCTACGTTTTATTGACACACATCACAGACTATTGATCCAAGTAAACAATGTAGCTGCAAGCCTGTCATTTTGAATTCACTGCAGCTTTCATGTGTGATGAGGAGATGATGGTCTCCTTGAAAAGGCCACCTAAGTTAACTAGCCATTTTCTCTCTGCTGTAGGATTATTTATTTTTGTCTTGCATAACAAAATTAAAGATCCAGTAAAAAAACAAAAACTCAGCTATATCCAGGCTCGGCTGTTATCTCACCTGGCTCTGATAAATAGGAAATACTGGCAGGTAATAATGTGAGTGGAACAATATGTGTGAGGATACATAATGTTGCTGAAGCTGCTCAACTGTCAAAGCTAATTAGTTTTTAAGGTGTAAGAGAAAAGAAAAAGAGATCTGATCGGATTAAACCAAATTCCATTTTTCTTTCATAGATTGTAGATGGTAATAAACCCTGAGTATAGCAACTCAAGGAAAATGACATAAGTCAATATCAAATTGTTGCCCTGACACAAGACTACCAGTATGTTATGCATTCAAGTCAGTTTGACAGATTATTCCTCTTGGCTTCTTCAGTAAGGATAACCATGTGGCAGCTCATTTTAATATCTAGGAGAACTCTTCTTTTGAAGAACCCTAACCCAGCTGCAGCTCTAATACTAAACAAAGAACATGTTTTTTCCTTCTCAGGCTTCATCAAGAACACTGAGAAACTGAGCTACGGCAAAGAACGCATGTACAAGCTGACCGTGACCGCCTACGACTGTGGAAAGAACCGAGCCTCCGAGGACGTTCTGGTCAAGATCAGCGTCAAACCCACCTGCAAACCTAGCTGGCAAGGTATCAAAGCTCTTCCTTTACTCACTGTAGCTCACCAACCATTACAGTTTAGGTGTGTATCTGTGTTGAATTAAAGCAATCCACCTTTCTCAAAAAACTTGTTAGCCACAAGGCTTTTAATCATGCTTTGGAACACCTTAAGTACTTCTTAATGAGTAATTACTATCGACAGCCCCTGTATTGACTGCACACATGTTATCAGCACTCTGCTGAAGGACATCTTTTCACTCTTTCCCCTCTCTCACTTTGTCTTTTAGGCTTCAATAAGAGGATTGAATACGAGCCTGGCACAGGTAGCCTCGCCCTTTTCCCCAGCATGCACTTGGAGACCTGTGATGAGCCGATCACATCCATCCGAGCCAATATAGAACTGGAAACAAATCATATTGGGAAGGGCTGTGACCGCGACACCTACTCTGAGAAGTCTCTGCACAAGCTGTGCGGTGAGTACAGTAGCTGGTCCACTTGAAACTATTTTCAGCTCTACATATAATCAAAATTATTTTTTTGATGAACCCAAGTGCCCTGGTGTTTTCTGCCATCTCTTCAAACGCTCGCTTGAAGAACTGTCAATCCCGTCACTCTGGAAATCAGCAATTGTTTGTCCTGTAGCCAAAAAGAGCAATCCCACCTGTAACAACGACTATCGACCTGTGGCATTAACATCATTGGTTATGAAAAGCTTTGAGAGGCTTGTTCTTTTTCAACTCCAGGAGGAGGTCAATATGTATGCTGACCCTCTCCAGTTTGCATACAAACAGCACAGGGGTGTGAAAATGCGGTACTAACTCTGCTGCATGAACCCTATGCACACCTTGAGAAGTCCAAGTCATTTATTAGACTAGTCTTTGTGGACTTCTCAAGTGCATTTAATACTGTGCAACCCCACCTGATGGGTCGTAAACTGCTCGAGTTGGATACCAACCCGCACCTGATCCTCTGGGTCCTCTCATTTCTGACAAATAGAAACCAGAGGGTCCGAATCAAAGGTCACCTCAGCTCATCTAAAACAGTCTCAACAGGAACCCCCCAGGGCTCTGTCATCTCACCCATTCTTTACACACTGTACACAAATGACTGCAGGAGCACCAGCCCAGGAATAACATACATTAAATACTCTGATGACACCGTTGTTATGGACTCCACCATAGACTCTTTTGCAGAATGGTGTAGGCTGAACTGTCTTGACCTTAACACCTCAAAGACTAAAGAACTGGTTGTTGACTTCCGGAAAGAACTTAACAGCATCCCCACTCTGTCAGTCAACAACCAGCCCATAGAGAGGGTTGACTCATACAGATACCTTGGACAATAATTGATCACAAGCTCACCTTCCAACCCAACAGCAAATCCATCTTCTCCAAGTGCCAGCAGCGCCTCTTCTTCCTCAGAAAACTCCGCAAATTTCAAGTCCACCATTCAGTCCTAACAGCATTTTACAAATGTTTTATAGAATCAGTTTTAACCTTCAACGTCACAGCCTGGTTTGGGTCGCTGTCAAACATTCATCGTAACCCATTAAACAGGATCATAACAATAAGCAGCAAAATAATCGGACAGCAGCAGGCACAACTGATCAGCATCTACAGGAGAACAAAACTAAAAGGACACACACACTCTGCCATCTCTACAACCTTCTCCCCTCAGGCCACAGATACAGATCTCTCACTTTCCGGACTAATCGAGCCATGTCAAGCTTTGCTCCCACATCCATCAGGCTCATGAACAAATTATCTATTTCTTATTTATTTTTTAACACCACTCTTTTAACCGCTTACAACAATTATTGATGACCTATTTATCATGCTTTTAACCACCTTTTTCTCTTTGATTGATTTTTAGGAGCCAGCACCGGCACAGTGGAGCTCCTACCTGCACCCAGCAGCTCCTCAAACTGGACAGTAGGACTGCCCACTGATAATGGGCATGACAGCGACCAGGTGTTTGAGTTTAATGGCACCCAGGCCATCAAGGTTCCTGATGGCATGGTGAGCACCAGCCTGAAAGAGCCCTTCACCATCTCTGTGTGGATGAGACATGGCCCCGGGGCTCAAGATAAGGAGACCATTCTGTGCAACTCTGACAAGACAGGTAATGTCCCAGAGATGGGTCGAAGCGTTCTAAAGGTGTTTAAATAAGGATTTCTGACTGCCTATGGGCTGTGCTCTGGTTTGATCCCTGGTGGAAATTTTCTTATGTGGGGTGAAAATAGTTTTGAAGGTACTAGATTGCCGAAACAAACAATGAATCAATGAAGTTAAAGACTCAATCAAAGATCCAAATAAAATAATAAAGGGAAGCTGTCCAACTCTTTTTTGACTATGAACCTGTTGTAATTACCGTATTGATGTTGTAATTGCCGAAAATGTATTTTGCCTATGGAATGAGTCAAATCCTGCATATAACTATTTTGACAGCTAAGTGGCATATTCTGTATTGCTGCATTGCTTGAATTCCAGGCTGTGGTCAGTGTTGGCCAGCTGGCTGTCTTAAAAATGGAAGCAGATTTCCTTTTCTTTGTCTCACCTCCCAATCTTTAAATTTTTTGTCCCCACTTGAATGTGTTTGCGTGTGGTCGCATGCTCTTTGACCTTATTGACTGTAAAGTCTCTGCCATGGCCAGCGTGAGGAAGCTCATCAGCTTCTGTGTGGCTGCTTATATAAGAAGGATTACGTCAGAGCGGCTGTGCACTGGACAGGAAGCTCCTATACTCATGATCTCAGCACCATTCATCATCTCCACTCAGCATAGTCCCTGTTTCACAGATATATCATCGTTTGTCTTATTTTGATCAAAGTTCTTCACAGTTGTTTAATTTAAAAACATAAAATACTGAACAATACATAACTTGTGAAAAACAGCAGATTAACCTACATATTTCACCCGAAGCTGGGCTGCTACCAGAGTCATGACGGTAGTAGAGATACTAAGATGTCATTTTCCAAATACCAGTACTACCAGTCCACAATCGAGTATTCTGTTCCTGAAACATAGTGTGATCCTATGCTCCTAATTGGGGAGCCTGTTGTTGATTATACAAACAAATGAGCTGTGTGAGAGGACGCTAACTTCACAGTCCATTTAGATTATCTTGATCTATAACTTGGTGCTTTCTAAGTATGCCACATGACAACACACAGCAGATTTCTGTTGGCTAACAGTCTAAGCCTCCACATACATATGAAGAAATCCCAGTAAATCTTCGGACCTTTTCAAGGATTAACAGCCAGTTGGGGTTTAAGGCGTCCATTACATGCCTGGATGAATGTCTGTTATTCATAAATAACCTGAGCTTGACTTAGCATTTCCAGGTTAGAGGACATTACTTTGGTTATTAGCGCTTGTAAGCAATTGTGCAAAACATGTTTAGACATGATTGTGAATTATAAGAACAAGAAATACCACTGATGCATTCGGAACTTTGGTTATAATTTATTTGACTTAGTTTTGTAGTCCAAATGAAGTCCAAAAATACCACAGGTATCACCAGATGTCACTCTAACATGTTATCACTCTCTTCTGTTTTTGCCTCTATAGAAGATTCAATTGTTGTAGTTCAATTTCAGTTACACATTTCAATTTTGATTTAAGAGTTAGGGTGACATATCTTGATCTCTCTCTCTGATATATTTCTTCTATCTCTTCTGCAGAGATGAACAGACACCACTACTCCCTCTACGTCCACAACTGCAGGCTGATCCTTCTCCTGCGTCAGGATCCATCTGAGGCCGAGAACTACAAACCAGCTGAGTTTCACTGGAAACTGGACCAGGTCAGCTGCTTCTACAACCATTCTTTCTGTACTGCTTTAGAGAATAATAAACGGTGACTCTTAATTTTAACCACTGCCTCTGCTGTGTTCTTCACAGGCGTGTGACAAAGAGTGGCATCACTATGTGCTGAATGTGGAGTTCCCCACTGTGTCTCTGTTTGTTGACGGGACTACATTTGAGCCCTTCCTGGTTACAGAGGACTATCCACTGCACGCCTCAAAGATCGAAACTCAGCTCACCATTGGTGCCTGCTGGCAAGGTAAACTCTACAGAAAGATCTTTGAGGAATGCACTAAAATTAAATAAGCTATAATTTTCATGGGTGACAATATGTGTATATTTACAAACAATACTGAAGTACAGATATGTTATAAAGAAGAAGGTGATCCTCTTCTGCATGCTCTGAGTCTTTTTGGGGGCTACATTATTATTATTATTAAGATTATTTGATACTACCTTATAATTGGCTTTTATGATACTTGTTGTTGTTGAAAACTATCAATTTCACGTCTTTAATTCACTCTTTACATAGATTGTCAGTTGATGCACCTTGACCTCTTTTGTAGCATCTGAATCTCTACTGCAGATCCTCAACCTTCCTCCCTGTCTCTCCCTGCTCTCTTGTTTCTGTCCTTTACAGACAACTCAGGACATGACAATGACACTGAGTCAGTCTCTGAGCCCACCTCAGGTTGCTTAAATCTTTCCCTTGCTCCTCAAATATGTCCATGTGTCCACGATTGTCCCACCACCCTAATTGCATCCTCATACCATTTTTTACTAGAATGATATTAACAAGTTCTAGAGGCTGCAAGATTTATTTTTTTTATCATCAATTTTTGGAGCATGAAGAAGTATGAATGAGTCTGGTGTGTCGTTATAATTTTGTGTTTTTCTTTATTTTTCAAGTATATGCTGTTCTCACTGCAGCAGCAAGGCCGTTGTTTTTTTTCTCACAACATCCTGTTCACAAGCAAAACAGAAATAGACATTTAATGAGCACAAAACTGTGACCCGGCTGCAGGATTTTTTCAGAGCATGACCTTGGGGTCAGAATCGGTAGCTCCTCAGTATCAGATAACATTACAGCAACACACACACACACACACACACACACACACCACACACACACACACACACACACACCCCCACACACTGCATGAATGTAGGAATGTGGGACCTTTAGATGGAAGTCCAGGTTTGTGTCCACTTCTGCAGTGTCCCAGACTTATGCTCATTATTGTTTTGCTGCATTGTTTCATCCCTAATAAGGAGGGAACACTGAATTATTCAGTTTTATCAAAGGCAACATGAGTGGATTTATTTCACATTTATGCTTGATTTTTCTTCTTTGAGTTCCATTTTCCCAGTTGATCACCTTTTTACCTCCAAATGAAAGCAGCAGTTGATGTAGATGTTTTGTATGTCCTAAGCGTGTGTAAGCTCATCCATCATTTTTATGTCTCTAAGTTGACCTCAGCTCGTAAGGACACACACTAACTTGCATGAACACCATTTGCAGCAGCTTTGAACATTGTGACAGCATGCTTGAATTTAAAGCCCAGAAAAAGTTGAAGTTTGTGGAATTTACACTGTAAGTGTCACATTTTTTCACGTGTTTGTTACTATTTTCTCTCCCTTATCGCTCACCTGACGAACCCAGGCGCCAATGCCAGAATGGCTCAGTTTTTCCGAGGTAACCTGGCTGGGCTGATGATCCGCTCGGGCAAGCTGGAGAACAAGAAGGTGATCGACTGTTTGTACACATGCAAGGAAGGACTTGACGTACAGCTGCCTGAGGAGGTAGCCTCAGCTGTCAAGGTGAGGGGCGAGAATGTTACAGAGACACAAAAAAGAAATATCTCAGTCAGGATGGATCTGAGTATATTGTGTCAGGAAGATAGTTTAACTAACTGGTTACAAACTTTTTGAATAAATAAGTTTAAACAATAATACTAGATGTAGAAGGTGTTTAAATGTAGATATCAGCACAAAATTGACCATCTCAGCTATTTGGATATTGTTTTGGGGTTCCCCCTGAAGCATGTGATTTGTTAAAAGGCTTAAACTAGCTTGTCACATGATTTTCTAATAGCTAATTTTAAACCTGACACTTTTTCTGTTGCACGCATCAAAAAACGACACATTGTGCCTCAAATCACGTCATCTGTCCCTCTGGTGCCTTCTCTCAGGTGGAATTCAACCCCAACCAGTCCTCTCTGACCGTTGAAGGTGATGACATTGATGCCTTAGACAAGGTCATGCAGCACATCTCCTACTTGAACTCCCGCCAGTTCCCCACCCCAGGCATCAGACACCTTCGCATCTCCACCACCGTCAAGTAAGTAGGAAGAGCAAAAAATACTTCACCACTTGTTTCTAATTTCCCTGCTCAGTCTCAGTCGTGTCATCTCATCTGTCAGTCAGCAGCAGTAAAAGCAATTGTGATGCAGCTTATTCCTGCCTGATAGACGTGCAGAGAGGGTGCGTCTTTTTTGCCTATTGACTATAAATTTAAGAAGGGATTGTTGAGGTAAAAAAGAGGTCATGAGTTTTTTTCATTACCATTACAAAGAGAAGGAACACAAAATGTTTTGCGCCTCGTAAATCACAGGCAGAAGATTTTGTTTGTCAGCTCTCTTTGATGTCGATTCTTATAACAATGATGAAAACAGTCTGCAATGTAAATAACGAAACAGCATACGCAAACGATGCATACAGTGAAGAATATATTTAGAGTCATGTTTCTGCCGAGTCTATTTTTAAGATTAGTTCCAGTTAGTGTTGCAGTTTAACATTTGTTCTTCTCTGTATGTGAACACAGTTATGTTAAGGGATCATATAAGATTCTAGTTCTTTAAGTGTGTACTTGTTAGGGCAACTTAATGGTTGTTTGTACACCTTCAGTTATTTGGGGGAAGCATTTATAAAGTATGTTTATGTTTTTTACATCCTTTTTCTTCCACACACGTTTTTACTACCTCACTGCTTTTAGAAATACTTAATTGGGAATCTTTTATTTTTTTAACCTGAAAAGCCTTGTTCATTCACTCTATCGTTGAATTCCTGGTTTGCTTAAAACTGAGTCACGGTTATTTGTCAAATTAAAAAAACCCATGAATATTTCTCCAGATGTTTCAATGAGGAGGCCTGTGTGTCGGTGCCAGATGCTGAAGGTTACGTGATGGTGCTGCAGCCCGAAGAGCCCAAGATCAGCCTGAGCGGCATTGATCACTTTGCCCGCAGTGCTGCTGAATTCGAGAGCCAGGAAGGTGTGACCCTGTTCCCAGAGCTACGCATCGTGAGCACCATCACCCGTGAGGTGGAGGCTGACACCGAGTCAGAAGCAGCAGAGGGAGCTGATGATGACCCTACAGGTAAAAAAAAAAACCATAGTAAGATAATGTTACAGGTAATTTGAAGATTACTGTAGCTAACACCTTCTCTTAGGCTCAATTGTGTGAATGTGCAGTTGATAGCTGGACATATACAGTAGCTGGTGATGGTTAGGATTACGCCTGCAGGCTAAAAGCAAGGCCAAGAACTAGAGGCAGAGAGGGAAGAGATTAGTTGTTTACTACTTAAGGGTGGGGTCAGTGACCAGCCTTGCCATCTGTTTGGCTTGTGTACCCGCTTATACAAGAAGACATAATAGATGTGCGCATGTTGACACAGATACGGGGCGATACCATGTCCTGTGATGAAAAGCAGGCCATAAAGGGCAAAAAGGTTTACAGAGATCTGTTGCTGTTACCTGCTTTACCCCGCCCCCGTTCTCAGCTATTAAGAAATGTGATATGTCATGGCAGATGACTAACAATCCCGTAAAAGGAGATAAAATGATGTCAAAAGATGCAAACTGCATGTGTAGGAAAGGAGAAGACAGGCTGCATCAGCTGCACAGTCAAATTAAATAAATATGACTTCAAATTCAATTCAGTCACAAATGAGTTTCTGAGCACGTTTTTACTCTTCTTTTTGTGACGAAATAAAACACACTCTTGAAGAAATGATAGTTTTAAACATAGATTTCTGCTGACAAAGTAGCACTAAACTGCTCTGTGAACACATTTGCTACTAGCAGCACTATAGCTGTTAACAGGAAACAGTCATTATCACTTCTTACTGTGTGAGGTTGTTTTTAGTACATTAACAGAGTAGCTAAGCCTCGCAGTATATTGACAGTGAAGGATGAAGCTGGTCACAATGGGTTGCACTTCTCCTGACCATTCACAATGATCACACTGTGGTGTCCCACATTCTGTAATCCAGGATGATCACTTGTGTTGTTCTGTATCCTCCTCAAACCCCTAACACATTTCATTTCATTTATCTTCTAAATAAGATGTTTGAGAAATGAATGAATTAGTCTTGGGATGTGACATTAAAAAGAAGAAATCTAAACAGAGCTCTTTAGCCTGCTTGTTAAGTCTGTGTGGCCAGATGTTTGAGGCTACATCAGCTGCTACCATCATAGCATACAGCGATCTCTGACCCACCTGTGACCCTGCACTCTCATTGTGGATAATATAAGTGCAGGGTTTTAAAGAGGAAACAAATGCATGGAACTTAAACCTCTATCTTCTCTTTCTTTTTTTGTTGACTTTTTTTAATCTGTCCTTCTTTAGACCACAGTATTACAGAACTGCTAATAAACCATTAAGAAATCTTACATTACATTCACAATAGACAATCCTCCCTTTCACGAGAGCACCACAACTCATCATTCTGAATCTATTGTCTTCTTTTTGTTCCTCAGTCCAAGAGACAGTAGTGTCAGAAGAGATCATGCACAACCTGGACACATGTGAGGTGTCTGTGGTTGGAGACGAGCTGGATGGGGAGCACGAGAGCCTGGAGCTGGACGTGTCTCAGCTGCAGCAGCATGGTCTGGAAATGAGCTCCTCTAACCTGGGCCTCGTCGTGACAGGTAAATTCAACAGAGCCGTATGAATCAGAATGTTGGGGGTGTTTCTTACTTTGAAAATTCTACACTATAAAAAGAGTGCTTTGCAGAAAAATCATCAAAAACTGAAAGCAGGTTATTTGAATTTGGTTTTATACTGAGCCCTCACATTTAAACAAGTACAATCATGTAGTCACACTTAATAACCACATGTAAGCATTTCACTTTTATCAAAAGAATACATTTCTGAATCATCTTAAAGCCGTGCACTTTAAAAACTTAGACTTAGACTTTCTTTATTGTCATTCAAATTGTACCTTACAGTGCAGATAAGAACAACATTTTGTTCCAGTTGGCTCATTGTAGTGCAGGATAAAGAACAGCAGCAAGTATTTACATAAGAATAAAATAGAATAAGGTGCAGACATAAAAAGGTATAAAAATGAAACTATGTATAAAATGAATGAAGATATCAAATATATTGCACATGGTTACTGTTATATTATATTGCGCAGTCCAGTGAGGTAGTCCTGTGTGGGGGTTTAAGGGGGGGATGCTTGTTATTTTGCGTTCAACGTGTATTTTCAATAACATGTTCAAAAAACACATTATTTCACAGTGTTACTGTTATCCTCTGGTATGAAGAGGTTTTCTTAACTTCATTTCCTTGACACAAGATCTCCTCTTTGTGATCCAGGTGTCAACACAATGGCCAACTACGAGCAGGTCCTGCATCTTATCCGTTACAAGAACTGGCACACAGAGGCTCTCTTTGACAGGAAATTCAAACTGGTCTGCTCTGAACTCAACGGCCGTTACATCAGCAACGACTTCAAGGTTGAGGTATGACTGAGCATTTGTCACACAACAGAGTGCAGGCTAGCGCTCCCTTACAATACTTGAGCTACATAGAAACTGGAGATTTGTTGACATTTTGTGACCATATTCAATCTGTTTTTTTTTTATTTTTTAGGTAAATGTAATCCACACAGCCAGTCCTGTGGAGCACGCCAACAATGCCATGGTGCAGCCCAACTTCATTAACCCTGTGCATCACGCCTCTGTGGATCTGTCTGGTCATAACCTGGTCAATGCTCACCAGGCCTCAGGTACTGCAACATGTGGAACATTGAAAGACCACCTTGTAAAAGATATCCCTCTTTGACATGTACATTTAAATTACACCAAAAGTCATAATCAAGTCGAAAACTGTGCAATTGAATAAAACTGCTGTAGAATAAGATACGTAGAATAAAATACCAGGCCTCCAATATGGCTAGCATTACCAGGGATGGATTACAGTTTATTAACCAGAAGTAGGGCACGTATCGCACACTGGTTGTTTGCCCATTTTGTTTAATGGCACAAGTTAAGGGATTACTCTTGAGTGCTGTCTGTGACATCTGTAAAGCCTGTGGTCTGAGCAAAACCTTTTATTTCCCAGTTTCAGTAGTAATCCTGCAGGCTGTCAGGCTCACTAAGCCTGTCACCACATTACCTCTCCTACTAATATAGGACAAAGTGAAGCAGGTTGGCAGTAGACGGGAGAAATCTATTTAAAGAAAGACACACACCTAGAGCGGCCCAAAGAATTCATCTGCAGTCTATTAAGGAGTCTTTATCATCAGCTCTGGCACACGCAGAAAATGGAAGCTGTGTGTCTTGACATAAAGCTGCGACATTTTTGTCAGAATGTGCTCCTGTGAAAACTGAACATTGCACATCTAACCTGTCATTTTGTGTTCCATGTTTGCCTCCCCACAGTGGTTCCCAGTGCTGCCACCATTGTCATTGTGGTGTGTGTCAGCTTCCTGGTGTTTATGATCATTCTGGGCGTTTTCCGCATCCGCGCCGCACACCAGCGCACCATGAGAGACCAGGAGAACGGCAAGGAGAACGAGATGGACTGGGATGATTCAGCACTCACCATCACCGTCAACCCCATGGAGGTAGAAACACACCCAGAACTTGTTTTTGCTGGAGGGCAAAATAAGTGAACATTTCTCTGGTGATTAACCAGTGAATAGATGTCTGTTCAGGCAGAATTTAACTTCTCTACAAAACGCAGCTCTGTTGCAGGCCAGGCAGCTTTAAAAGTGCTAATGCTTTCTGTGTGATGTGACAACTGTGGCCTAGTTTGTTTATAGATATTTATCATGTAAAGCCTTTGCCAAGTAGAAAAGAAACACGCACACATCAATAACTTCTATCAATATAAGGATACTTTTGCTTCCAGTTTGTCTTATGGACATTTGAGAGAACATCTGAAAGCAGCAGTGAAAGCAGCAAGTCTCCGAAGTGACATTTTCTCATTAATGAGTCAGCGTTCTGGCAGGATATAAATATCTTCACAGTGGTGCTCATGCCTTTTTGAGATATGGTATGAACTTGCAACTAAAGTATCTTTTATGACTTTGCTCATAGCAAATAGCAGCTAAAGATACGAAGTAGACCAAAAACGAGTCCCAACAACTGCACCCACAGTGTCTTTCTCTTGTATTCATTATCGTTATATTTATTTTAAAAAGAGGGTCCTTAAATAGACTTAAATTAGTAAAATAATGAGCCTTATAATGTCATATCAAGCTAAAATATCTGGAAATATGTGTGAAAATATAGGTCAGGACATACACACGTTTGATAACTCACTTTACCCTCTAGACTTGCAGAAAATGACTTTGTTATTCTAAAACAAATTACAAACATATGAAGAGACTCAGTATTTTTTAAGAAGATAATGTCCTTGAATTATTGATCTAAATTGCACTAGAATCTGAATATTAAGAAGTGTTTGTTGCTTAACTCAAAGTTACTTAGAATTATGTAGTACATTTGTAACATTTAAGAGTACAGTTTAGTCTCTAATTGTAAAAACCAGTGTCTCAAAAAGGGACTTGTCTCATTCTGCTTTGACTTCTACACAGACGTACGAGGACCAGCACAGCAGTGAGGAGGAGGAGGAAGAGGAGGAGGAGAGTGAGGACGGAGAGGAGGAAGATGACATCACAAGCGCTGAGTCAGAGAGCAGTGAAGATGAGGAGGGCGGGGAGCCGGAGGACCAGCAAGGGGCCAGCAGACAGCAGCAGCTGGAGTGGGACGATTCCACCCTCACCTACTAGAGGAACACACACACACACACACACACACACACACACACACACACACACACACACACACACACACACACATTACAGTTAACACAAGCACAGACACACATCACCAAATCACACCCCCTGCTCTGCACACACTACAACCCCGTACAGCTACATGTCCAAGGAGCCATGATGTAAAAAAGAAAAAAAAGATAAAAACGCAAAAGAAAAATTCCCTTCAGCGTATATATGGTCAAGGTTTTCCTGTCGTTACCTTAGTGGTGGTAATCAGTGTAGTGTAGACATCACCGGATTGCTAATTTTTACTGTTTATTTTTTTATTTATTATATTTTAATTCCCGGGAAATCTTGGCCTACATTTGTTTGGAACTGTGTGAGGAAGCCAACCCTGCACTTTTTTGTTTTCTCTCAGACATATAAGGCTCTCAAATGGAGAATTTATTTTCTGATGTAAATTCTTTGCTTAATGCTATTAGAATCGTTTGCCGCTAAAGTCGTATATAGCTATGACTTGAGTTTCCTTGACTTGTTGTCCTCAGTAAACAACGCTTTTAACGAGTAGACTGCATTTTCCTTTTATTTTTCCTTTGTGTTTTTCTAGTGCATGAGGATATTTGAGAAGTCATATATGTAGAGAAATCAATTGCTTTTTAAAGATTTTGTAAATATAAAGAAACCATGTAATTAGTCAATGTGTTAGTGAAGGCCTACTCAAACGGGGTCCAGTATCTAAAATGACGCAGTACGTAATGTAGAATATTTGTGTTACAAAAGGCTGTAGCATGTCGCTCAATTTCTGCAAAAGCAATTCCATCATGCTTGTACAAAAAAAATGTCTGCTTCATGACGAGAAACCCAGGACATTTAAGAGGAGGTTTTCATGACAAATCAGTTTTCAATTTTGTCTTTTTCTTTATCGCAAAGAAGGAAAATGCTTCTTTTCCTTTCTCATTGGCAGGATTGGATGGTGTCATCTTCATACACGCTTTGCTTTGCTTGCACAGGTGTCGGTGTATTTCATTCCCAATAGATCTCACTGTTGTACAGAAGGGATTTCCCTTTTCTTTTTTTTCAGGGTAATCATACATGCTAATGTACAAACCAACATTTCGAGTGGAACGGTACAACCCCAGGCCAGCAGGTACTGTAGTGCTGTTGATCTGGAAGTATGGGTACTAACATTTCTGCCAGTGTGTTTGGAGTATGTAGAGAGATTTCCTCAGCAGCTTTTAGAGCTTTTTGACCGCATCCCAGTCCTGCTGTGCTGACAGAAGTAGGATGGGGGGGAAAAAACCTTCAAACTACTGAAAGAGCAGATTTATGACAGACAGAGCTTTAGAGGAGCTTACTGGAACCTTTGGTGTTTGTTTATTGGGGGAGAGAGGAGAAATGAAAGTACTTTTCAGGATTGCTTTATAGCAAACTAATTTACATGGCACAGCTATTTAATCTGAAATAATAAAACAGATAAAGGATTCATTTTAAAACTGGTTTCCTATTGCAAAATAAGAGCCATCTTTATTATAATTCAAGGAATTACACTTAAATGTATGACTGCTTAGTTAACAATAGGTAAACATATCAGAAATGAATCTTCTTGTGGATATCTTCAAATGAAATATTTTTTGCAGTAGACCACTAGATTTTATTGTACAAGGAACTGTACTGTAGAGTTGTTTTCAAGATATTTGTTTACATTTGGTAAACTGATTTTCCTTCTGGTAATAGTATCAAGCTTATACAATTGATTGGGAAAATGTGTCCGACCTCTCAGACTGTTGTATATATCTTTCACAACACCAGATACTAATGTACCTTCACACTTAACTGTTAAGTGTTTGTGTCTTGTATTTTCTTTGGGTACCAAGCAAATATAAACATCTCCCAAACCTGCACAATGAAAGCAGATCAGATTTTGGGCTGTGAAGTGAACAGAATGTGGCATTATCGGGAGTAGAAATGTTGGTGTTGCGAGTCTTTATTTTGCATGCAATTTTATTTTCAGAGGCCATGGATTTGAATTTAACAAAGACAATTTCTTTTGAGGGTATGAGTCCGACAGTTGGTTGTATTAGCTTCAATTAATTTATGATTTTTAGGAGGTCTGTGGTGCAAAGTGAGTAGTTAACAGTCTCCCCTCCATGATGACTTGGGACTTGTTAAAAGAGGGCCACGTCTGAACAGGCTGAGATGGGAGTGCCTTTTTCCGATCATAGCGCAATTAGCAGGTCTAACAAAAACACTCATTGGTGCGCTTTTATTTGTGGAATTATTTGTTTTTTTATTTGTTTAAAGCTAGAGATGGGGATTTACATTTTTTCAGTTGTAAGAATACTCCACATTACAAATGAAAGAGGTTTTACATAGATGTCTTGTGTCCATGTTGATGTTTAGAGGAACTAGATCCATATTGTATCTTCTATATTGTACGCAATCATTGATGGAATCCACCTTTAAAAAGATGTACAGTACATTATAAAATTGCTTTGGCAGCATACGTTGGTATACTGTTAATTCACCTATTTGTGTATAGTGGAAGGTAATTTTGAACAGTGTCCTATTGCCTGAGTTGTTGAGAAATGATTTTGAGGGCAGCATGAAATTCACATGAACCAGAGAATACTAAGCCTGTCGACTTGAAAGTTTCAGTATGTCAAACACTTGATGTCCACATTTCATCTACAACTTAATAATAAAATGTCATGGGTCACTGCTATGTGCACACTGAATCTTCAATCAAGTCTCTTCACAGTGACTCCACCATCTCCACTTTTCGGAGTGTAATGCTTTCTGATAAGCCCCTGAGCTAAGTGTAAGTTGGTTGAATTGAATGTCACTGCCTAACAAAACTGAAATGCAGCCATACGGTAATAACACTAATGATGTAAAGGGGGCGTTAACGTTGCATGAGCCACACGTTTTTATTACTTTCCATGTGGGCTTGTTAGACTGGAGTGAGAAAGGAGGCGCTATACACTGCTCATTCTCAGATTGTCTGTGTCACATGTCCAGATATTTTTCTTTTCCCTGTTTTGTTTTCTTTTAAAAATTTGCTCAAAACGGAAGGTAACAATGTTTTCTGAACGATTGAATGTTTCCTTTCTGCTTGTTGGAGCTGCTCTCACTTTCCTAACAATTTAAAGGCAAATTGTAGTGAAGTCGATGCTTGCTCATAAACAAAATAAAGGGTGATGAGATGGGGTATAACTTCTGTGTACTCTTGTTTTCTTCAAACATCACACGTACATAAAACTACTTAAAGTGAATTATAAGACATGAGGAGGCAGCTTTAATAACACAACAGAATAAACACAGGGGCCGATCAAAGTACTTTACAAAGACAAAAACAATTAAAGATAATGACAAAACCAGAGTAAAATACATAGAGACAGAAGTAATACATGTAGACAGTGATGCAGAGTAGAAATTGGAGTAATAGTGCCCTCTGGTGGTGAAACAAATATGTTAAGGTCAAAACATGGGAAAACAAATAAATAAATATTAATTTTCTTCCTCTTAAAGTTAGAAACAGCAGCTTAAAGCCTTATTATTTATAGATACTGCTGTAAACACTGACTTCAAAACTGTTTGAACTACTCACTAAGAAAAAAAGGAAATTGATTTTGTGAATGTATATCCATTTATAAGCACAAACTGCAAGATCATCCATGATTACATAAAATGATTTTTTTAAATGATAGAAACAAGAAACAGATCACAAATTCATATACCTATACCCTATTCCTATATTTAAGTTCAGGGTAGTTAAAGCTTTGCCACTCTGGGGGCCTTTTTTTAGATATGTTGTTAGATATGTTGATCTACCTTCCAACTTGTTGCCAAATCGTACTGTACAGTACACATCAAATGTGCATTCTGTGTACAAGTTGACAGAGTAGTGTTACTAATAAAGGTCATGATTCTTTGCTATTTTGTTAAAATCATCACAGAAAGCAAAGTGAATTTAAAAAAGACATCTTGAACATTTACAAAACTAAAAAAGAAAATCAACATCTTCACAACGTTTACTATTTAAGTTTTCAAGAAAAATGAGCCCAGCAACAAGTGACTGTTTCTCTTGAACTGCTTGGCCTATCCTTCACATTCAACAAATCAAAAGGTTGTACCGGCAATACAATCACCATCTATCTGGACAAATAAAAGACACTTACAAAATTTAAGGGTTGCAAAATAATACTGTTTAAAAAGTGTTAGGAAATCCAGAAACACCAGAAGTGCACTGATGGTTTACAAAACGTACTGATCAATTGGCACATATCTGTCTCGATAATGACAATGAGTTAATCTTTTTAATAAAATCTAAAAAAAATACTATGCCTTTGTTTTTACTCCAGAGCTAGCTAAGGCCATTATTTTGTCTTCAGAGCCTGGAAGAGAAAGCAAAACATGATAAGTATGACATTCATGCAAAAACTACTAATGAAAAAACATCTCAGTGAGCTCACAAGATTTTTCTCACCTGAATTTGCAGTCACTTTTTCAAACTGGCTCAGAGTTGCTGTCGCATTCTCGGTAAGAAAAGTCTCATCCTCTGAAGTGAGCTGTCAAAGCAGCCAGAAGCAACATTTTAGAAAATAAGATGTTAACAATGTGACCGTTTCATATGAGGTGAGATGTTGGCCTGTTGTAGCATCTACACTGCCATCATGGTGATAATTACATGACAAAAATAAATAAGAGCAGCTTTTAGGAATATGAATCATCCATGAAAAAAAAATCACATCTCTTCTGAGTCCCTACCTTCTCTCCAAGTTTTCTTAAGGCTGTGAGGATTTCCATTTTCTGCTGTGTGTACACATGCCTTGATAGTTTCCCCACCATTACATCACGATCCATCTGTGGAAAATATCACATGAAAGTTTCAAGCCAACTTAATGGACACTAAATAGTGACTGGGAAGTCCGATTACACACATACCGGTACTAAACAGATTTGCATTAAAAAAAAATTGCAAATATATCAACAACACAGCAGTGCAAACCTCTGCTAGTCTGGTCCTTAGCTGTCCAGGCTGCTTCTTTGCAAAGAGTCGAATCACCTCTGGTGTTTTGAATGCCTGGCTGATGGCAGCCTGGATTGCCTGATGAAGACAGAAACATTGCAGACTTCAACACTTATTCTTTAAGTTTATTTTACTACAACATAAACATGATACAGCAGTTCAATCGTCCATACCAGCTGCATTCCACTGAGATCATCCACAAGGGTCATATCCCCTGTCATGATCTTCTTCAAAGAGTCGTTGAATTCACTCAGCTGCTCTAAAGTTTCCTTCTTTGTCTCCTCGTACTCTTCCTCGTCCAGTTCTTCCCTGAAATGAACACAGAAAGGATGAGAAACTAAGAGCTACAAAAAAAACAAAATGCATACTTTATTGCACAGACCATCTCATGATCATGTTGTAGCTTAAACAGTCAAATTAATTCCCAAGCATCTACAGTCCTTAATTTACTGATGAGTTAAATGTACTGTTTTTAATTAGCACCTGCATTCCTCCAGATCCTGAAGCTGCTGCATAAGTCTGTCAAGTTGCTCTTCCATGTTTTGCTTCAATTTTCCAGTTTCCGATTTCCCTCTAGAAGCCATCTCTAATTAAACGTGTATTTAAAACCTTTTGGGAAAGCAAGACAGAATAAAACAGACGACAAATATAAGTCCAAGTGGTGATTTGTGGCTCACACATTAGTTATCCTTAACCCAGCATGATATACAGACTGCATCACTGTGACGCTATAGAGAAGAGTTACGACAACCTGTTTAAACATGTACGTTACTATTAAGAAACTGTGGCTAAAATAACACGACCTCGGATCTTAAACCACGTCATATCACTGCACATGTTGTTTGTTTAGCTGATTGCTAGCTACAATGCTAAAGCAAAACATCTCACCGGGACTCACTCTGTGAAATGTTCGTTCAGTGAGTTAATATTTGCCGCAGTTGACAATTTTTTACAATAAATTCACAGATCTGAGACTGCACTCCGGCGAAAAAAAACATAAACCGCGAACATAAACTACGTTCAAATTCGGCTGTGAGGTTTAATGTTAGTCGAGTCTGTGTTTGTGAATGTAGCCTTGTGAGTGTGGGTGCGGCTGTCTCTCTTCCTGGTTGATTCTGTCCAATCAGATGTCTTGAACGTAATGACGACATAGCGATATGATCAGCGCCGTAGAGGACGCTGTGGTGCATTACAGAGCTGCCGAGCAGAACGAAGCTGCTTCTTCTAGGTCGTACAGTGATCATTTATTTACAGTTTAGAAGATAAAAAAAAAAAAAAAGGGGTGAACAACGCAAGCTTAATTGTCCACGCTTAGTTTTTTATTTACGTTTTTATTCTGTATTATATATTTTTTCTGAATTAGCAGCAAGCCCGCCTTGTTTAGTTTCATATTGAGCTAATGTTAGCTTGGGTTTATAATTTAATGCGCTAATGTTTACGAAAGTTAACAAACTGACAATTGACGTTTTATAAATATTTTTTACATGTGAATATTTAAAAAATAAATTCACTAACTTCAGTCCTTGTTTTCTTCACACTGTTTGCGGGGCTTGGCGTGAATCCAGCCCCAGTGTGAGGCATGGAGGGTCAGGCTGTAACAGAGGTGGTCCTGCTGGCCTGTGGGTCCTTCAACCCCATCACCAACATGCACCTGAGGATGTTTGAACTCGCTCGAGATCATCTGGTAGACACAGGTTGTGTGAAATGAGACTTAAATTCTTCTAAATATTCTTCTCATTTGATTTAAAGTTTGTTCCCCCAAATATAAAACACATCCTTTATGTGTTTACACTTAATTTGCTTAGAGTTAGAAATTCTTAATCTCTTAGATTGTGCTTAAACCCCAACACAGCTGTGGTGAATGTGTTTTGGTTGTGCTGCTTAGTACTCAGAAACGTTATGTGTATTCATCAGATATCTGTAGTCTCATGTATATCATCCCTGTGTTGTTAGAAAGTAATTTCCATAAAGTATATTATAATACTGTCAGCAGTGGAATATATTCCAGGATCCAATGTGGTCCAGTACATTTAAATCCATCTCCATTTTAGTAGAATTGAGGCTTCTTCAGAACTAGATTCTTAACTTTAAAACGTATTCAAACTATTTAATACAAATGTAGCAATGCAACAATTTAAAAATACTGCACCCATTACTTATCCATTACTACCACACCAGCTCTATGTTCTAAGTATCATGAGATAACGTGATTGATGATTGATTTCTTAATTGATTGAAACATCTGTTTGTTGTCTAAGGTCAGTACAGGGTGGTGAAAGGCATCATCTCCCCTGTTGGTGATGGCTATAAGAAGAAGGGTTTGATCGAGGCCAGCCACCGACTGGAGATGGCTCGCTTGGCCACTAAGGACTCAGACTGGATCACTGTAGATGCCTGGGAGTGTTTGCAGCCAGAGTGGGTGGAGACAGCTAAAGTTGTTCGGTAAGTTTAGAATTCTTATGTGTTGTAGGTGACAGTGCCTGTGCTTGGTAAAAGTGAAAGTAAATCTGCCAAAGAAGCTAACACCGTTCCTTACAGATCTCCCAGTACCCTTATTTACTTTAATTCTTCTCCGACAAATACCTCAGGAAACTTCCTTATCACATCTTTTAACATAGCCACAGAGGGTAGTGAAGACTGTTAGAGTAATGATTTACTAGTATATCAGATAGCAGTTTAATATTTGACTTGCTGCCTCAGTGTAAGTATTGAAAGTTGGCATGAAGTTGAAACAATTGTTAACAAATGTGATGATAGCTGAACTCTCTAGTCATCTTAATAAATCCCGCACCCTATCATCTGAGCTGTTCAAACATACACTACATTTAGCTCTTGCAGTTGTAATGGAAAAAGTCCTTAATGTTCAGTGTAACATGAGGTTTCCCTTCATTCAGTAGCCTTTATGTATCACTCATGAAACTCTCTATAACTGTATGGTAGGACATTTCATCTGTATATTTAAAATGGGAAAAAAATAATATTCCAAAGAATCTTAATCTATAATTGATTTGAAATCAATCAAACTTCTGACCTGATATGTGGCTATATTGCAAATTTTGCAGGTTACCTGAGAACATTATTTATATTTTCTCTACAACTGTATTCCCAAGCTTTTTTCTGTCACTTTGCAATTTCTAATTCAATTTCTGATTCATATCTTTCAGGTTTTTTTAACAGCTAAAAATATATATTTTTACAATATATATTTTAAAATTTCTTCATCACTAAAAGCAAATGTCCTGAGAAAAAGAAATGTTGATACTATTGACTATTTTCTTCTACAATGTGGCAAGACAGTTCCAGATTGTAAAAAGTTGATCCATGCCTTCAGTTGAATTATTCGGACGATTGAAAGTACAGTGTTAGAGGGAAAATGGCTTTTAATGTTTGAGTATAAACACCACATCACATTTTGTAGATTACTGGGAAGCATAGCTTTTAGCTTTTGAATTTAAGTATACAAAAAAAAAAAGAATAGTAATGTAACAATGTGATATCTTTGATGCTGATGGTTAATGAATCAGAAAATGTTTTGAAATTGCAGAATCTTGTGGCAGTCTTCAGAGACCACACAGGAAACTATAACTTAAAGACTTTGATGAGAATAATCAGATAAATAAATAATATAAATGACATCCCAAAACAGTTAAGACATTTTATTAGCTGTGTGATTGTTAAGAACTTTTAATGAAAATAATGTTTATTGTAAGGGAAACTCTATGCATTGCTGTTACATGTAAAACAAATTCTATCTTTCGTGATGACTTTTTTTTTCTGAATTCACTTAGGCATCACTATGACGACCTGCTGGCAGCAGAGCAGAACATCGATGACGTGGACACAGTCAAATACACAAAAAGAAGACGTGTAGAAGAGAATCATTTTCAGGGTTCATCTAGTGACAGAGGCAGAGGTAGGCCTAGTTTAAATATGTTTAAGTATGTAACCTAAGTATTCTGCTCTTGGCTCTCTTTTCATCTCCTCCCTTTTTTCATTTATGGTCCCTGTCAACCTGCCTGAGCTTGCTCCCACTGTATTTAAAGTAAGCTGTACTCAGCTTAACTCATAATAGGAGATGACGGTTAAAGGGTGTAGTATTGATTTGTGTTGTGACTTGCACCCAATCCCACACCTAGTGAGTACTACACAGAATCAGACAGGTTAGGTGTAAGACTAAAAGAGGGGAGCCTAAGTGACAAAGATAGCAAATGCAAGCGACCAACTTTCCTACGTGGTTTGACAACATTCTTCCAACTAGTGACAAGAAGTTAGACTGCATGAATGTCTAATAGGACGCTGCACCAGGAGTATAAGCATCAGCAAGAGAGGTGCATACTGTGCCATGTCATTAAAAGTTATATAAGAATTTAATGAGAATTTACCTCTGATGATACTTATTTAAATATTCCTTTTTCACAGACTACTTGTTAGTTGCTAAACTGTAAATCTCTTGAATCGAGCTGACCAGTTTTCCCAGCATGAGCTGCAAACAGAGAGCGGTGGTCTCATCGTGACAAGTTTTATTTATCTATCTATTAAAGTTATTTCATTGGGCTTTTTATGCTTCAATTAAGAGACAGGATAGTGGATAGAATCCAAAATCAAGGAGAGAGCGAGTGGGGAATGACATGCGGCAAAAGAGCCACAGGTCGTATTCGAACCCTTGGATGTCTGCTTTTAGGATTGTAGCCTCTGTACATGGAGCACCAACTAACCACTAGGCCACCTGTGCTCTAATCATGACTGAATTTAAGAATAATATATAAATTATACATCTTTAATTTTTCATTTAAAAAGGATTACTTGTACAAAAGCTTTAATGAGTGTATATTTCAGCTTTTCCATTCTCTTAATCATTCTCTTTCTATATGCTCAGACAGCTCTCAGGTGATGTTGCTCTGCGGGGCGGATGTCCTGGAGTCCTTTGGCATCCCCAATCTGTGGAAGCAGGAGGACATCGCTGAGATTGTTGGCCGTTACGGTTTGGTTTGCATCACCCGAAACAGTAATGACCCTCACAAGTTCATCCACCAATCAGACACACTTTGGAAGTATCGCAAGAACATCCATGTGGTCCGAGAGTGGGTGACCAATGAGATCTCAGCCACTCACATTCGTCGGGCATTGCGGCGAGGTCGAAGTGTCAGGTATCTGCTTCCAGACAAAGTTGTTCGCTATGTACAAGAGAATGACCTCTACAGTGCTGAAAGCGAGAAGAAAAATGCAGATGTGGTCCTAGCACCCTTTCAGAAATGCTCGGGTGCCTTATCAAGCTGAGGCAGTTTAAGCTGGTTGCGATTAGTGCCGTGGGTTAACAATATATTGTAATTTATACACATTTTTGTATGCTTTTTTAAGTCCCCACCAGTGCCTACCAAGCACAGCCTTTTTTGTAATGGGCTTGTGACTTTTAAGAATATTAACCTGCTTAGACCTCTCTAATTGAAGTCAATTAATAACACTATGGCCTGCTTTAATTTATTTTGTGTGTCTGAAGAAGTACAACAGTCATAAAAACCTTAACTGAACAACAGTTTAGTCTTAATGGTATAGCTTAAAATAAATCTAGATATTTATAAGTTCATTTAAATAGTCAGCCTATCTTTTTTATTGATAGTATATAATGTTATATTAAGAACAAATTGATTTGAATAGCTTTCCTTGCTTTATTAAGAGTTCTGCCCCTTTGCATCAGTACACTGAACCTACTTCACATATTTCGATGGTTACCTTGAGCAGCATTTTCCCACACACTCTCAGGGAGAAGAAGGACATTTGCATCAAATATGTGTACTCTGCTGTTGATTTGAAAATGTAGGTTTGATCTGTATTGACTGGAAACAAAATAAACAATGCTCTTTGTTTCCCACACTGTGATGTTTTCATTGTTTTTGGCATTAGCAACAGGTTAAGAGTTCAAGAAGTGTGAAATTGGTGCCTCTTTCCTTTTTTGATCAAAGTGCTGATTGTCATGTTGACTTATCTTTCAGGAATCCATCACTGATGGAAGAAATAACAAGTGGCAACAAAGTGAGAGCAATGAGATTAGATGACTGCTTAACTGATTACATCGTATCAGAATTAGTGCCTATTTATTTTTAACTTTGATGTGGGTGTGATGGTATTATTGGATAAAAAGACTTATATATACCATTTAAGTTTAAATTACTTGATTACATTTTTAAAAAGTACAAGGCTGTGGTTTATTCTCAATAAATAAAAATCCTGGTTAATCAAACAGTTGATAAATAACTCAGTTATGACATAGTGCACATATAAAGTTTTGCGTTGAAATCAACTGTGAAACATTTTTCAGAATCACATTTTTAACTGTTGACCTGCTTTCTGTTTAGTTAACATCAGGAGGAAACATCCCCTTATTGTCAGACAACCTTCAGTTCCCTCCACACTGCATGCCACTGTTACTAAAAATGTAACTATTGTTTCCTCCTTGCACAAAGAGGTGTGCCATGTTTAAAAGATCTAATCACACAGCAAGGTGGATTCCATGCACAAATACTGATGATATTTGGAGAATAGTTGAATTTTTTTAGAACATGGCTTCTTTAACTGAGTTTTAATGCATAAAGCCTTAAAGTTTTGATTTTTACATCATGTATATCTATTTATTAATAGAATATTATTACAAAATCCCATAAAGAAGGACTAAAATGAATCATGGTCAAAGAAAAGCCTTTCTCCCAACATTATGCTCAATACACTTCCCTGTGATTGTGTGTGTCTTGTGAATGTTTTCACACCTGGGGGAAATTTTGAAAGGTTTTTGTTTTTTTAATGTCTGTGAGCTTTGCAGTGAGACCAGTCTGACTTGTCTGTCTGTCCTTCTACTGGCTCTGATGGGAGCACCTCCCTCATCTGTACATGGACCTCAGGTCATTGAGCTAAAGGCACACCTCCTTTATACCTCCTGATGTCCCCAGAAAACAGCATTTGCTCACAAACCTCTCAGAGCTCATGAGCCCTCTGGTTTGAGGAGTACATTATATTCTCTTATTATATTCTCTTACATCTCTCTTCAAAAAGAAAGCCATCAAAATGCCAGCCAGCCTCAGTGGCACATGGGACATCATAAGCAGTGTCAACCTTGAGGGCTATATGAAGGTTTTTGGTAAGTCCTGTTTTACTACTTTCATATACTTAATTTTCTTTTGTATGATGAGATATCTACTTTATATAAAATGAATGTAAATTTAACATTATTCAGCATTTCATTGAGGGGGTTTAAACATGAAATATGGAAGAAAAAAAAACCATTTGGCTGTTTTTCAAGCATGTGCTAACTATGTTATTCATGTAGTCTTGTATGCAGCCTGTGCATGATTTATTTCTGTACATTTAGATTACACATTGTTCCACCGTTCCAGGTATCAGTCCTTCCCTGCGAAAGATTGCTCTAAAACTAAAGCTGGGGAAGGTGATCGAGCACCAGGGGGACCAGTTTATCATTAAAACTACCAGCATCTTACGCAACTACACCGTGTCCTTCAGAGTGGGTCAGGAGTTTGAGGAGTTTACCGGGGGGCTTGACAATAGACATGTCAAGGTGAGGTTGAATTGCTGGTGGTGGGGAATTTTGAGTGCAAAATGAAAGTAAGTGTTTCCACGCATCCGTTTTTTTTCACTTCTTATTTATTCTGTTGTGTGATGTGATGCAAATCCTGTCTTCTCCTCTGCCACCTGTGCAGTCACTGGTGAAATGGGAGGGGAACAAACTTGTGTGTGAACAGATTGGAGAGAAAAAGAACCGAGGCTGGGCGCACTGGATAGAAGACGACAAGCTACATCTGGTAAGAATATGAATATGGGCATATTTGTCATTTTACATTTACATTACACAATGCATATTAACATATCATTACAAAAACATACATACATAAATATATATTTATATAAAATCTTTTTTTTCTTCTCAGGAGCTGTATTGTGAGGGGGAAGTCTGCAAGCAGGTTTTTAAGAAGAACGTGAATGAGTAAAGGACTACAGAAGTTTAGAAGTTACTCATTGGATAATTTAACCCATACTCTGAATTAGAAAACCACACTACAAGAGAAGTTAGTGGTATTTTCTCTATTTTGTCTTCAAATGTCTGTCCTCTCAGGGTTTGGATTCACACCACTAGATGGCATCAGTGCATTACTTTTGTCAGACACTGGTCTACACTGGTCTGTAGGTCAGGGGTACTCCGCACCAGACAATATAAAATGGAATATTAAGCACCTTTCTGCTGAACGCCTGGTTCCTTCAAATTTCTGTTTGATAGGGCTCATCTGAAATACTTAATTTCATATAGACTGGCTTGGGCTGTCCATTTGAGATTTTGCTGAGTTTTTGAAAAAAAAAAAAAAAAAAAGCCTAATAAATAATAATTAAAATAAATGTATAAACATTGAAGGGTAGATGATTATTTAAATGTATATTTTTGTGTGGATTTTGTACAATAAATTGACTTTTGAAAATATATGAAGTGAATGTTTTTCTTATCCAATCCTTATTTATTCTTCACAATATTCAAACAGATTGTAGCCTTTTTGGTTCCATTACTCAAGCATGGCTTTTGTCATCACTTATGCCAATTGGTTACGGCGAGGCAGGAACTGTGGTATAAAATGCATCTTTAATGTAACCAAACAGATTGGGCTGCATTGAATATGATAGGTTATCTGCCATCTGTAACTACTGTTGTTCATTGCTTTGTCAATCTAAAAGCACCACTGACAAGTCTAATAAAACATGTTTGTAGTGACATTATTGTGTCCCCAGTTACCTCGCCTACATAACTAAGAAAGGGAAAGATTGGCATAAAGCTGACTATAAAGTTTACTAGCTGTCTAGCATGTAAACTGTATTTGGCACTTCAAACAAGTTACCAAAATTGCACAAAACAGTAGATATTGAACTATAACATCTGAGCTACAGACAGTGCTCCACAGTGAAACCTGACACCTCCCCCCCCAGTCATCTTCTCAGTCACGTGACATCGTGTAGAACCAAAATGGCAGCTGTTGTATTTTGACGTATAAAAGCTAGCTACTTTTCTTTTTGTTTCATTCTTGTTCGTAAATAAGCAAAACGAGAGACTTTTTTTTTTTTTTTTTTTGGAGGAACCGTATCTTTACAACCCTCCGTAACACCAGTTGTCCTAGTTTTTATCTTGAAGACAATCAGGACGGACACATATTTTGTTGAACGAGTTAGACTATGCATATTTAGGTCTAACACTGGCTAGCTTAGCTGGCTCTGGCCGGCTCACAGTAAAGCTGCTGAAAGTGAAACAGCTAACTTGGCTGCGATGGAGGAGTTGAGCGCAGATGAGGTGAGGTGACAATGGGGGGAAAAAACACGCTCATAATGAGTATTAAAAATAAATGCGTTGTTTTATTTTGCCAGCGTGCAAAGCTCCGATTAATTGAATTGTGTTATTTTGTCCCGGAGCTCATTAGAGACGGTGTAGAAACCTGCTAGGTTAGCCGACCTGCTGCTGAAGCTACATCGAGGCTAGCACAGTCTAAATCGAAGAAAAGCGATAAAATCACACAATCAGCTCAGCACCGGTGTACACAAAGTGCGTGTTGCCCATTCCGACCTATACCATATGTAATGTGAAGTAGTCAGATTAAAAGATTTAGTAAATGTATTCGCAGTTGAATTGTGGGTCGTTTATTTCTGTCTCCGATGCTAAAGGGTTTTTTTTTCTTCTTCTGCCACAGCACAATGCTAACTAAGCTAACGTAAAGTGCACAAGCTGGCCCATGGATAACAGTCTTCAGCATGGAAAAATAAACAAATTCACACGTGTTTAATTGTTTTCATGTGACTGATGTATTATCTGCGTTATATTTAGATGATGATGAGGTTTCGTTTCATTTTGTCCACTGGTTTAATTGGCACTTCTTTCCTGCGGAGAGCTATTTGACAGACGCTAATGTTGTTTTGCTAACAGACAAAAAATTAGCCTGCGAGACGACTCAGCATAAAAAAACACACCGGGCCACCATTGTGCAACCTACGGTGGGCCAAGTGTGTGTTTGCGTGTGTGTGTGTGTGGCCCCTGAGCTGTTTTCCATTAACCACTGGGAATATTTCACTGCATATTTATTCTGTGTTACATTGTTCCTGTAATCGACCTCAGCCGATAGTGCTGCAGGTTTACTGAAGCGGAGGTGATCAGCTGCTTGCTTCATTAATGCTCACATCTGATTTTTGTTTATAATGTAGGTTTTATCTTATCCAGTATACAAGGCCGAACTTTTAATTGGAATACCGTATAGCTAAAGATGTTAATTAAATCCGATCACTACCTTAATTATGTGGCTGTTGTCTAGCGTTTATGATCATAAACTTTTACTTTTACTTTTACTTTTCATGTCCAGTCAGATTGTGTCATTCACTTGGCCAAAGAAAAAATAATTGAGGCTTATTATTTAAAGGCAAATATCAATTTCAACTTCAACAGTACTTTTACAATGCACGCTCATTTGGCTTTAATGTGGGATGTTTTGGTCTTCTAGTAAATATGCAACTCTTTTGGTGTATTCACACTAGATTCGCCGAAGGCGATTGGCACGACTGGCAGGGGGACAGACATCACAGCCCAGTACCCCTCTCAGCACACCCCTGACATCCCCACAGAGAGAAACTCCCCCTGGACCCCTCCCTGGACCCTCAGGTGCTGCATCCCAGCCCCTGCCACCAGCTGCCTCTCAATCATTGGGGTTAAATGTCCACAGTGGTACCCCTGCCACATCCCCCATGGGCACTTCTGGTAAGAACTGAATAAGATCTCCAATTTTTTTTGCATGCATTTTTCCAGTTTAAGTAATTACAGCAAAAGAGGCTTATAGCAAAAATGTTGTGATTTAGGTTTGATGTTAACAACTGGTCAGGATACAGTCAGTTTTCAATGGTTGTCAACTTAGAAGTGTTTATTTAAAACTCTTTATTTGTGATTGAAGTCTAATCACATCACCCTTTAAAATGGGTCTACAATACATTGTCTCCAAGGCTAGGAAGATAAACAAACTTTGTTGTTTGGTTTGAGCCTAACAGTGAATGGGACCTTTATATACATTTTGACGTAGACCCTGAATGACATCTCCACAAACAAAAGCAGATTGTTTTTATCATCATTTGTATCCCTGTTTGACACAAGATTTGGGCCTGGGTACAGAGTTGGAATAGTGGTAGTGAAATGTGGTAGTGTTGGAATATGACGCTATCTTCTAGGGATCGAAGTTCCAATGGTATTATTAAAGACATTTGTGAGTTTTGTGAATAATTCCTTTTAATCAGACAGTGCATGCAATGTTTATTTGACCTGATTGTTGTGAAATATATGATTGTTGTGCAAGTGGAGAAAAATTGATCTAAGCCTTCTACATGCAGTAAGATTTTGGGTGTTAATCAGCTTTCCGTCCTCATTTGTAGTAGCAGTTGTAGTAATCTGGGTTCATAAAGATATGGTAGACCATAATAATCTGAAAAACATCAATCTGAGCAATTGCTTACCCAGTGTGGTTACAGAATTTGATCTTCCAGAAACAATAGTCCTGAAATCATATATAGAACTTTAGATGGCTACTCAATTCTACAAACATCTTTTTTCTGCCTGGCGGGTACATAATAGTCTTGGAATTTCTTTTGTGATTTGATGCAATATAAATAGATAAAACAACCGGTTATTCAAATAAACTCAAGCATTTCTAAACGTATTGGGATTTTTCAAGTTGAACTTAATTTAAAATACTTGAGCTGGCACAAACAGCCCCACAGCAACGCTGCAGCAGTTAAGCAAGGCTCCTAAGTAGGCATTGTCACCTAGGGGTTAGACTTTCTTTTAGTGCCTGTGGGCATGAAAGTCTACTAATTATCTTGGAAATGGTAGAATATTATCACTTGAAACAATATCATTAGAAAAGTATGTTATTATCTTATGATCACTCCTGCTATCGTTCAAAACAGTTATGCACAGATTAAATGTACTTGATCAAATGAAACTAAAAAAAGCATCCAATGGAAAGTCCCAAAGCACCGTCTTGTGAATACCTTAAGACTCTGTTATTATATATTATTTTGTAATGTTTATTTTTTGGGGCTTTTTATGCCTTTTATTTAGAGATGGGACAGTGGATAGTCAGAAATTAGGTAGAGAGAGAGAGTGGGGAATGACATGCCTATAGCTTCTGTACATGAGGCGCGTGAACTAACCACTAGGCTACCGGTTCCTCGAAGACTCTTTGTCATTCATGCTACAAAATTGTGTACATGCAACACAATTAAAGGCTCACTTTTTGTTTATCCTTCGTTTACATAATTTAAACAGAGGCATAATATCATTATCTGCATATTAGGAAATGACTGACTGAAAACCAAGGCTGGACAGGCTGCAAGTTACAACCCCATTTCCTAAAAAGTTGGGACGCTGTCTAAATATTTTCAAAAACAATGACATTTCTCAGTTTCAACATTTGATCTGTTGTCCTTGTGCATTTTAAATCAAAATGGTGTTTTATTGTTTTGTGAATAATCACATTCTGTTTCACTTTCCGTTTTTTAATTTTAAACAATGTCTAAACTATTTAGCAATGGCGGTTGTTAGAAACTTAAATAAAATGTATTCTTTTTTAAGAAAATTAGAAGACACCATGTGAACCCTACATCCTCTGATGGGTCTCTCCAAATCTGGCAACTAGTATGCAAAAATTCTAGCAGTCTCAATTTTCAGAAAAATGTCAAGCTAAAACAGAAAATAATGCATTCTAGCTCAGATCCAAATCAACAAATACCAGCTATTCCAGAACCATTTAGAAATAAAGCTTATTTTGGACTTGAATCAAAACATTAAGACACATTCATGACACACAAGATATGAGGTTATGTGTCTAAGGTGCTTAAGTGTTGTTTTTGATTTTGCAGGGGTGGCATATGGTAGTCAGAGCAGTGAGGGTGTGAGCTCCCTCTCCAGCTCCCCCTCCAACAGCCTGGAGACTCAGTCCCAGAGCTTGTCCCGATCGCAGAGCATGGACATTGACACTGCCTCCTGTGAAAAGAGGTAAGAGTTTTATTTTGTGCTATTGATAACTGCCCTGTTCAAAAGCCTTTAAACCCACATCATGATATTTGGTAGCTATGAAATCTGTGTTTTAATTTTTAAAGTCCTCTCCTAAGTGGGTTTAAAAGGTACTGCATTTTTTTTATTCCATCATAGAAAAGAGAGGCTGTGAGCAGTTTAACTTGTATCGATGAAACTAATTCCGGTGGTGACAAGTTTTGATTTTTCAATCCCCACAAAAATCATTGTAACATATATATGTGTATATACTGTATATGTGTGTACACTTTGGATTGAGTGTTAGAAATTTGAATAGAAATTGTAGTGCGTAATAAGACAGCCATATGTCTTGCTCTTATGGGATCTGAATGTATAGTTTGTTGTATAACAGTTGAGACAAAATGTCAAACTTCACTGTACCATTAAAGTTTGACTATGAACATGAACTGCTTTGGTTAAAGAGATTTGCTAAGCGCTGCACCTTTTTATCTTTTTCCAGCATGTCCCAGGTGGATGTTGACTCAGGGATCGAGAACATGGAGGTGGAGGACAGCGATCGAAGGGAGAAGAGGAACTTGACTGAAAAGGTTAACAGTAGAACATCAGTCATAAAAGAAAGCCTAAGACCGTGTTAACACTGGACTTCTTCTTTCAGCGCTGCTTTCGACGCCTTTTTGAGCGCTTATGTGCGAGTGTTCTGTAACCTTAACAACGGGATCTAGCCTACGGTGCAACCGTGCCGGAGCCGGCAGGAGCACGACGCATCAATTTAGCACAGAAAAGAACAAACGGAACGGGAAGTCAGACACAGATACAACATTTAAAACATCCGGTTTATTTTCAGAATAAAACTCTCCATTTTGACGGTTCAGAAAAACGACCGTTTATGTGTTTATAAGGTTTGTATTGAGTTTTATACCACGAACATCGTATTATCTCGTGCTTTCGCGAGTGAATCTGTAACATTACCGCGGAAATTCCTTTGTCTCGCTATGCTCTCCTTGCTGTAGACTGAGAACGCAGCCGGTAGGTGTTGACGGATGAGGGTGCACGGACCAGTAACGGACCGGAGCGGACACGCAATGCACACATATCTGGTGAAAGTTTGCCGTTTTTGGGTGCATGACATCTTTTTGGGCAACTAGGGACGTAGGTTACTAATCGTCCTGATTGGTCAGCTGTCAGAAAGGCGCTTGACGTCACCCAGCGGTTTTCTGAAAAGTTGAAATAATTCAACTGAAAAAGGCGTCGGGCGCAGCGCTTTTTGAAAAGGCGTCCGCTTTTTAAAAAAGGCGTCATCCTTTTTCCTTTATCCATAGACTTGTATGTAAAAAAGGCGCTGGCAGTTGAAAAATGAAGTCAAGTGTGAACACGGCCTTAAATCCTTATTACTTTGGCTTCATGACTTTAATTTAATTTAATACCCATGTTAAGAACAAGTGAGTCTTTAAATGAGTAAACATTAGGTGAGTGAGTCTCATGATATTTTCAACATTATGATTGGGGATTTTCCTGTAATGCCATTTTTTAGTTTCATTTTCATTAAGTACACATCATTGGTGCATTCATGTCTTTATAGGCCACTAATGTGACATTGAGACCATGATGCGAATTGTGAGACTAACAGTAATGTTTGTCCAGTAAGTATTTCATCTGTAAATGACTGTAGATTATGAACAGACCTTCACTGTTCTTCACCTCAGGACATATCGGCAAACTCGGATGTCTCAGAAGAACAGGCTCTGCAGCTCATTTGTAAGATCCTCCGTGTATCGTGGAAGGAGCAGGATAGAGATGTCATCTTTCTCCCTTCACTGGCTGCAGAGTTCCACCAGAACCCTAAAGATGGTATGTCACTGAGTAAACTGAGGCTGACATCCTAAATCAAAGTTTTGTCTATAGCTGATTGGTGTTTTCATTTCATAGTTTTGATTTTATCCTCTTTTTTTTTTTTCGTCTTCCAAAGTATACTCCGACTTCAAAGACCTGATCGGTCAGATCCTCATGGAAGTCTTAATGATGTCCACACAGTCTCGTGTCCAAAACCCCTTTGCTAGCTTAACCGCCACCTCTCAGCCAATTGCAGCAGCCAAATCCCCCGACCACCGTCTGACACTGGTGCAGCCCTCCAGTCAAGGTGGCAGCCCCATGGGCCCCAGTGCAGGATCCTTTGGAGCCAGCTCTCTTTCCAGGCAAGTACCCTGTCTCACTATTATGAGCTCCAGCAGTGTAACTCCTATGGACGTATCAAGGCACTGGAAGCATCTGCACTCCTCCTGCCATGCTTTTTTGTCTTGTTTTTTCTGATTTTTCTTGAAACATCTCTACCTTCGAGATATGTTTTCCCACTCATTGTCTAAATGTTGTTCACAGTCTGTATGGGTGTGGTAGTCCTCACACGATGGCTTTGGATGCATCCAAGACGTCCTCTGCATCTCTCCCCACCCCATCTACACCTTCTATCCCACAGTTCATTGTTCCTCCTAGCCCACCTGCAATTGCCCCTCCAAGACAAACTCTCAACCCACCATCTGCCCCCATGCCCATCTCTCAGCGTTATAGGCCTTACTCTGTCAGCTCTCCCTGGGGCACTTCTTCCCCTTCCAGCCCTGGTCACAGAGGCTTTAGTTTCTTTGGACCCTCTCCAGGCCCTGCAGGGCTCGCTGTACCTCCCAACACCCCAGTTCCTGTGCCACCACCAAGCCCCCAGTCCCTTTCTTTGAGCTCACCTAGGGCTCCCAACCCTCCCTCCACCCCTACTTCTCCTGCAGTGCCCCCTTCTCCCAGATCACATACTCATCAGACTGCCTTTGCTGCAAGGATTCCACCATCTAGGTATCTCCCCTGCTGTTGGCATGTCAGTGTGCGGTGCTTACGCAACCAAACCTGCTAAAATGTTAACATTTAGTGAACCACCAGTTTTAAGTTTGTGTGCATGCCAAGAGTTTAAAACCTTATCTATGGCCGGCCTTCTTTTGTTTATTTAGACTTCTGTACATTCTGTAGGTACTGACACAAACAGTAGTTAATTCGACGGGGTTAGATTTAGAATAGTCTAAAAGTTAGTGAACCTGATACTTCAGTGTTTTTATGTTTTAAAATATAAAGTCTGCTTAACATTTACAAATGGTGATTCAAATTTAGAAAGTATAAATGTGAGAAATAAAACATTCTAAACTCTTTATATTTTCAATTAATTTTAAAATTGATCACATGACATTAAATGGAACTTGCTAACAACTAACAGGCATTCTAGTTTGTTTATCTGAAGTATTAATGCTGCTTTTTGCTAACATGTATAATTACAAAAAATATGACCTTTAGAAAAAAGATATTAGTTCTAGTTTGTCATGATTTATAGGTGCTGCAAAGAAGATGTATGAACATATAAGATCTGGCTCATGCCTCTTTGCATTGGCTTGTGTGAGACCAGTTGTAGGACTGAATGTGACTCTCAGCTAAAAGAAAATTACTGACAGTGTGTAAAAGTTGCAGACAAAAAAGCACTAAAAGTAGTCTTAAAGCAAGCATGCAACCCCTCAGCATCGTTTACTTAGTGCTTCCCTCTACCATGTCCTCTGTCCTTGTGATCACATTTATCTTCTCTTTTCACTCCCATTCTGTGTTCCCTTGCTTGCAAAACCTTTCCTTTTTTTTTTTTTTTCAATCTTTCCCTTACTCTCTTGTTGTCTTTTTCTCGCCATGTTAGCCCCTTGTCGTCCCTATTCTTTGCCCTCTCTGACATGTCTCAGGACAGCAGTGATGAAGAATCTGAGGAGGAGGATTTTGCACGGGTTCAGTTTGGGTCCAGGTACACCGCTGCACGGTGTGTGCGTTTGTGTTTGCTTGCTCAGATAAGACCCCACTGCATGATCCAGTGGGCCCTGAAGGCTTAGCACTAACTGCGCACAACCACACCAGGGAAGAGTGGAGAAAAACAAACATGTTGGCTCTGCAAACTTAAAGAGTGCTTTGGCTGTTTGGGTCATCAGAGGCTCAGATATGAGGTCTCATTAATATAACTTTTAGAATAAATATTGTATACAATTTGTTTTCCACTTCATAGAATAAATCCACTTCTATTGATTTTCATGACTGCCAGAGTTACTCAAACCTTGGATTTCCTGTATTTTGAATGACATTTGCCAACCTTGCAGTCCCTGTATATTGCCTGGAGTTGAATAAGTAATATAACTGAATACAGGTTTTTTTTAAATGCCTTTTACGTCTTAAAAGAATGATCCTTTACCCTGAATGAATGTTAAAACTGAAGCCTATGGTTGATTGATTTGTTACTAATTCAACACTTGTACATTATTGTTAGATCAGATAGTGGAGCCTGACTCCCTTCTCAGTGGATTTTTGATTTGCTGCATAGTTAAATGAAATCCGACTGTGTTTACAACAGCAAAAGAGGTCTTATTTAGTTTGGTTCCACTTGCATCTCATCTTTACACAAGAAAAAGAAAGCCATAGATCGAGTAACATTTGGTATCTAACATTGTAATGTGTTTTGTTGACTTCATTTGAAGCTTTAAGATGAATTATAACCCACTAAAGAGATGATGTTCCTTCATTGCCTGTGTTGAGGGTTTGGCGTGCTTGAAGCAGCTAACACACAGGTTTTGTGTAAAACAGCTAAACACTAACAGCATCTTAAACTCCTGCCAACCCCTTAGTCAGAAAATGGTGGTGGTCTGAGTCCTAATTTAGCTTCAGAAACTTGAAAATGACTCTTGAATAATTTACATTTCATATTTTTGCTTATGATGCTGCAATGCAATCCCTAATTCTTTATAGTTTGTTTCTTTCAGGACCCTTGAGAGTGGGTTTGTGTTTGTTAACCATACCTTCATGACTTTGTTTGATCCTAACAATGTATCTTTCAGTGTGCTGCTATGGTTTGTCTTTTAATGACATCCTCTCTGTCCTTGTTTCTGTTTTTTACCTTCTTGTGTGTAGTCTTGGTGCATGTGGAGGGTCGATGTCCTGTGACTCAGCCAGCGACCGCTTCACTATTGAAACTTGCAAAGAGACAGAGATGCTGAACTACCTCATTGAGCGTTTTGACAGTGTTGGCATGGAGGAGAGAAAAGCCCCCAAGGTAAAGGTCTGATGAAAGCTTTGATATTATAATGATTCTACTTATAGTTTCAACTTTTCAGCTTTACCCACCATTTCTTAATCGATCCAAAAATGTCCAGAGGAACAGTGTGTACTTTAGAGACGAGCTGCAGGCCAGATGGTCTGCAGAAGAGCTAAGATTTTCTCGTCAAAGAGCGCTGTGATTCAACGGAGAGAATTTCTGTGAAAATTGCAGCTTACATTTTAATCGCACCTCTAATCATTTTCTCTCCTCTCTTAAACCTTTCTGTATCTTTCAGATGTGTAGCCAACCGAATGTCAGCCAGCTTCTCAGCAACATTCGCTCTCAGTGTATTTCCAATGTGGCCCTGGTCCTGCAAGGCACACTGACCCAGCCACGGTATGAAACACACCGCACACTGTGACAAATTTTGGGTCTTTTTTTTTTTTGTGTGTGTCATTGTGTTTGTATTATGTTCTGTTTCTTTTCCATTTGAGTCTGTGTCTCCATAGCAACTACTCTTTCACTTCAATTGCAGTAACATTATTTATATAACACACAATACTTCTCTGTCCTCTACATGTAGGAGTCCTCTTGAGCAGTCTTTGCTTGTACCCTACATGCTGTGCCGGAACCTTCCTTATGGCTTCATTCAAGAGCTGGTGCGCATTACCCACCAGGAGGAAGAGGTGTTTAGACAGGTGGGATTGCAATACTTTAAAAATCATTGATTTTGCTGTGAGCTGGAAGTGCATTTCAAGAAGTTGTTATGGTACTGATGCATATTGTGTTTCAGATCTTCATCCCCATCCTGCATGGACTTGCTCTTGCAGTGAAAGAATGTTCCTTTGACAGTGACAACTTTAAATTCCCTCTTATGGTAAGGAAATGTTTTCCTGGCGTGTCTTGTACTGTTGTTAAAGGAAGGAGATGAAGACTTAATCTAGACAATTAAGGGGGATGTACAGTGCAGCAGGCCATGATGAGGTCCTGTTACTGCAGACTGTCAGAGAACCTGTCTACTCAGTAGACAGATCTCCAGTTGTACAGTACAAGTAGCAGAACTTAGCAGACATGCGACATCATTGTGTTGCTTCCCTTCTAAGATGATGATTTTATAATGACTTTTAAAGTCATATCCATTAATCTTGTGTCAAGCGCTGGTTGTTACTCACCAGTCATGCCAGCATAAACAATGATTGAAATAGTAATTTCCAGTTTGGGGTTTGATATATTCAATTAGTTTATTTTCAGAGACTTCAACATGGGAGTGTGTTACAGGATACATTTAGATATCATTCTTCATTCTTCTAAATACTCCCCTGATTATCAAAAAGTCCCACTCTTGCAATTATTGCTTCAGTAGAAGTTAAGTTGAATGCTGTCCAATGCATTTGACCTACAAACAGAATATGTCAGTTTAAGGCCAAATTAAAGCATTGACTAATTTGTGTTTTGTTTGTACAGGCATTAGCTGAGCTTTGTGAAATCAAGTTTGGCAAGACTCACCCAGTTTGTAGTTTGGTGAGTATGCAACTGAATGACCACAACTACATTTATCTTTCTACATTTAACAAAGCAATTTATATTTCAAGCCAAATTACCAAAAGTGAACAGTCTATCAAGTATTTCTTTGAATTGAGTGACCTTCAGTCTGGCTTTTATAATTCAGGTTATATCAGCATGGCCCGTTGACATCAGCATAGAACAATTTGCTTTGCTTATTTTATTCATGACTATGAATCTTTGTCTTCTCACACAGTGCCAAATACATGACATGAGTCTTTTTTGTAACATAAAAATCTGAGTTCCTTGTAGTGAATTATTTGAATCATTTGCTTGTTAACCGTGTTCTTATCACTTACTTTCTTTTAAAGTGTGCGACTCTCAGAGTAGATGTCACACCAGCCTCTCAAACCTAAACAAAGCTGTTCCATCACCAAACCAATTCCCCTCTTCCACCAACCCCCCCCCCTTAGTGTCCCGACGTCATCAGCTGTTTCTATACTAATCTCCATTCAGATATGCAGCTCAAAAATAATTTTGTTCTTGTTTCTTAGGAATAATTCATACTGAAAAAAAGTCTTATCTCCGATTTGGCTCTCCTTGAATTGTACTCTTGCGACAAAACTCCGCCAATATGCCTCTACTAACAGCGTCCCTGAATAGGCGGGGCCATCTCTCTTCCCTTACATGGTGGTAGGGCAACGATTGGACAGGAAGGGGTTCATGTGAATGAAACATAAACAAGCTGAAGGAAGCGCCATCCCGTATGAACACAGAGCTGACATTAACAAGCCCAGAGGGAGTTTGAATTAATTTTTTTTTTTCGAAAGGCATTACTCACTGATATATTTAGTTTGGATATATTTTATACCTGCTTCATTAATGTTACATATTATACCTTTTAATTTCAAAAGCCCTGCCTATTTATTTAACATTTAGGAAACTAGCTTCTCTTAAAAAGAGTGCGTTTAAAGGGGTAAGCAGGCAGGAATACACCAAACCTACTCGCTTTTACTGTATTTTTACCTTTGTGTTAAATGTTTGTGAATGGATGACAAAAGAACCTGTGTACCCTGTGCAACAAACATCTGTCATGGCTTTTCTGTGCAGGCAACGACGCTGCCTCTCTGGTGTCCCAAACCTCTGAGCCCTGGCTGTGGAAGAGAGATCCAGAGACTGTCCTACTTAGGCGCTTTCTTCAGCCTCTCTGTGTTTGCTGAGGATGATGTGAGTTTAAAATCAGTTAAATAATTAACACTGGGTAGTGCAGTGTATTCTCACAATTTAAGATCCTGCAAAGTGTTATGTAATAATCCTGAGAGAGAGAAAAAAAAAAAAGAGAGACAATCTTTACTGGTTGAACTTACTCTGTTCTTTCTCTTAAGGCCAAAGTAGGAGACAAGTATTTCTCTGGGCCAGCTATCACTATCGAGAACACACGAGTTGTCAGCCAATCATTGCAGCATTACCTGGAGTCTGCAAGGGTGAGTCCTGGCATCACGACTTTTCTCAAAAGCTGTCCTTGGTTTATAGAATAATAGTTTAAAATTGTGTGTTATGTTGTTGTTTTTTTTAGGGTGACTTGTTTAAAATTCTTCATAACATCCTGCTAAATGGAGAAACCAGAGAGTCAGCTCTTAATTACATGGCAGCTTTAGTCAACTACAATGTGAAGAAAGCTCAGATGCAGGTAAGTTGTTTTGATCAAATAATAAAAAGAAATTCTTGTCAGACAGTGCATCACAAAGAACAGAATACACTCTCAAATAGATTCTTTGATATTTAAGATATATTGCAAAAGCTAAAAAGTACATTTCTTTTTGCAATTTGTCTTAATTCACCCCTTCTTCTCCTAGACGGATGACAAGCTGGTGTCTGCAGACGGCTTCATGCTCAACTTCTTATGGGTGCTGCAACAGCTGAGCATGAAGATCAAGCTGGAGACAGTGGACCCCTACTACATTTTCCATCCGCGGTGTCGCCTGGTTGTCAGCTCGGAGGAAACTCGTCTGAAAGCCACCATGGAGGAGCTCAAGTGCTGGATAACTGAACTGCGTAAGTTGACATAAATAAAAACACAGCTTTGTGATCATGACCACTGTTCTGTTACTATAGAAACGCTTTGTGCGTGAAGTCTGAAATGAGTTGCTGGTATTTTCTGTTCATTTTAGTCAGTGCAAGTCAATTTACATTACACACGGCTTCCACTTTGGGGAATCTGTTAATTGCATGAAAAGGAGCCATTTTGCCACACTTGAGTTTCCTAATATCCGAGACATGTGATAACTCAATTTAATATTCAATTAACCCTCTGATGCTAATTGATTGATTAGGATTAATCTACAGAGAAATAACAGCTACACATGCTGTGCTTTTGTACATTTGTGTTGTATGTTATCATTTGAAGTAAATCATAAGAAATGATACACTAAACAACCGATGTGATGCTAACAAGTGTTTCATTTAGGAAGAAAGGCAGAAATTTAGCTCTGATACCAATCAATGCTGCTGACTGATGATATGTGTTTGTGTCTTCTGGATATAAATAAAAACATATTTTAATACATTTCTTTGTTTACATGGATAGACGAAGACCCTACTAAGTTCTCAGAGCCCAAGTTCCCTACAGAGTGCTTCTTCTTGACGTTGCACACCCACCACTTGTCCATCCTACCTGGCTGCAGACGCTACATTCGCAGGTTGCGAGCCATACGAGAACTAAATAGGTACGCGCGCACACACACGCTCTCTTACACACACATGCTCAACTACTCAAAGCATGCTTTAAGTGTCTTCTTATTGCTGGTTTTTTCTCAAATTAGGACTGTAGAGGAGCTGAAGAATAGTGAAAACCAATGGAAAGATTCTCCCCTGGCTAGTAGACACAGAGAGATGCTCAAGCGATGCAAAACCCAGCTTAAGGTGAGTTTAACATCCCTGTAGATACAAAATGGTGTCTCCCCTTGATGATTAAACCTTAAACACTAATCATAAGGCACAGACCTGCTTCTGTTCACCGCCCAGTATAATCTGTCTACAATGACAGATTATATTTAGAGATGTGATCTCTACCATGTGTGACTTTGTCCTGTCAGAAACTGGTGCGAGCCAAAGCTTGTGCTGACGTGGGCCTTCTGGATGAAAACCTGCTCCGCAGATGTCTGCAGTTCTACAGCACTGTCATTCAGCTCATTCTCCGCATGGTGGATTCTGCCTACCCCAAGTGAGTCACCCTTTGCTGACTGAACATGTTAACTTTTTCTCTTATAGTGAAGTAAAAGAAACAGATTTGTCATCACTCAGTCTTAATACACAGTTTTTGTTTGTTGATGATGATCTGAAAAATATTCTATATTAACACATACCGGCAATGTTGTCATTTTTTGCTTTCCCAGCATTATGCTGCCACTGAACCCTGAGATTCCCAAAAGCTTTGCTGCTCTGCCTGAGTTCTACATTGAAGATGTGGCCGAGTTTCTCCTTTTTGTCGTGCAGTAAGTGTATCATTTTGTCTTGAGCTTGTCTTACCAAATAATTAGAGTAATGGTCACACAGTTATGTTTGTGCTTAAAAGAAACAAAACCTGTCGAATAAGAAATAAAATAAGGTTAAAATAGCTCGGACACAAAGTAGCAGATATTCAACACACAAAATGGGTTCATTTGTGCTATAAATAAATATCTGCATGCCACTTCCTCCCTCCCTTCTAGGTACTCCCCCCAGGTTTTATATGAGCCCTGTGTACAGGACATTGTCACCTTCTTGGTGGTGTTCATCTGCAGCCAGAACTACATCAGGAACCCCTACCTTATTGCCAAGTTGGTGGAGGTGCTGTTTGTAACCAACCCTGCTGTACAGCCTCGTACTCAAAGATTCTCTGAAATGATGGAGAACCACCCGTTGTCTATCAAACAGCTGGTCCCTGCCCTCATGAAATTCTACACTGGTGGGTGTAATGGAAATGTTAGCTATTATTATTGTCAATGTGGTAGCATATAGATTGTAAACCCTCAAAAGTAGATGTTTCTTTTATAGCACATATATTATAACATAAACTGGCACATGCATATTCTTGATTTTTACTTTTGACTCAAAATCGTCTTCTCTGGTCAGATGTTGAGCATACCGGCGCCACCAGCGAGTTCTACGATAAGTTCACGATAAGGTACCATATCAGCACTATTTTCAAGAGTCTTTGGCAGAACCTGGCCCACCATGGCACCTTCATGGAGGAATTCAAGTGAGTTTTCATTTGAGAAACTCTTTAACTCATGTACGAAAATGTAGCTTTAAATCAGTGCCTGTCCGTCTTTGTTCCATTCTAACCTGAACTACTCTTCAATCTTGTTTCTCGCTCATTCCCCTCTAGTTCTGGCAAGCAGTTTGTGCGCTACATCAACATGCTGATAAACGACACCACCTTCTTGTTAGATGAGAGCCTCGAGTCCCTGAAGCGTATCCACGAGGTTCAAGAAGAGATGAAAAACAAAGAGCAATGGGAACAGCTGCCCAGGGTCAGTGTGCTCAGCCTCATAGGGACCTGGTTTCTATTAACTAGTTATTACATGCTGTCAGACAATTGTAATTAAGCTTCATTATTTCTAGCATAAACACGCAATTGAAAATGTATACATCTAAAAGAAAAAAGGTCCAAATCACTGTTCCAATTCTCAAAAAAGAGAGGGATGAAATTTGCTGCAACAAAGACAAAATCTTTGGGCTGAGCATTGAAAACTTTGCAGAAGGTGATTTTTTTTTTTTTTTGCAGAATATAAAAGAATAGCATTGTCTGTGTTTCAAACTTTCAGGAGCAGCAGCAGAGCCGCCAGTCTCAGCTGACTCAGGATGAGCGGGTGTCTCGCTCTTATTTGGCCCTGGCTACAGAGACGGTTGAAATGTTTCACATACTCACCAAGCAGGTCCAGAAGCCTTTCCTCAGGCCTGTGAGTATCGCTGCCCCCATGGTTCATTTGAAAAAACAAAAAAATGTCTACTGTTTAAATAGAGCCTACAATTTAACATATTGTAGGCAGTATGGGTGATAATAAACTCAGAATTAAATTACAAAAACAAATGAAAATGTGCATTCTGAACCATATAAACCCTTCTGAACAACCCCCTCTTTCTCATGCAGGAACTTGGACCTCGTTTAGCTGCCATGCTGAACTTTAACCTTCAGCAGCTCTGCGGACCTAAGTGTCGCGATCTGAAGGTGGAGAACCCAGAGAAGTATGGCTTTGAGCCCAAGAAGCTTCTAGACCAGCTAACTGACATCTACCTGCAACTAGACTGTGCCCGCTTTGCTAAGGCTATTGCAGATGACCAGGTTTGTTCTGAAGTTTCCAGTTAATATACTTAGACTCTGATGACGAAAACCAAAGTGGGGATTTATTATTTAGAATATGGGTCATGAGTAAAAGCCACAAGCAGTCGTGGTAGATCATGGAAGTCGTGGTAGAAATGCCTTAAGCAATCGCCATGAATCTCCTATTGTACTTGGTGAATGCAATACAGAGTTTGAACCAGGGTTCACCCTAACCATCAAATTTCACATCACTATTTATGAAAACCCCTCGTCTCCTCAGATAAATCAAGCAGAAAGCAGTGAGGGACCAAATACAGTAGAGTATTTCATTGCAATGTGGGAACTAGGAAGTGAAAGCTTCAAGTGTTTACAGCAACCTACTGTATGTTAAAGTAGTACTGCATGCTTTATTTTGTAATATGATGTGAAGTTATTGAGCTTAAGCCTCGCATACATCTTCTTGATTGCACATTTCTGTTTCAATCACTTGTGATATCCCAGTGATATTTTCTGATCTTTTATACATTTTGTAATGTTTGGAGTGTGTATGAGGAGTTGTGTATTGGCTGTTGTCTGTATACACATTGCTGTGCTTTTCTACTGAAAACTTTCTTGAAGCTTCCAAATAAAAATCCCTTTTTTTTGTCTTGCAGCGGTCGTACAGCCGCGAGCTCTTTGAAGAGGTGATATCAAAGATGAGGAAGGCTGGTATTAAGTCCTCAATTGCCATTGAGAAATTCAAGCTGCTTTTGGAGAAGGTGGAGGAAATAGTCGCCAAGAACTCCCAGTCTGAAATGGACTACAGTGACGCACCTGACGAGTTCAAAGGTGGGTGAACAGGGGTTTTGTTCACACTGTGTTACTGGAGCATACCTGCAATTCCTAAACCTTTTTATCCCGCTTGGTTCAATAAGTGCTGCAACTTCTTTGTGCAGAGATAGTAATTTTCTGTATACTTCTATACCAATAGTATTTTTATTACAAGGTCCAGAAGCATGTCTACTATACATATTTATATTTCTAAAGTCACTAAAACTGGATGTCTAAGCCTATATAGACAATTACTTCAAACTTCAGGTCCTCTTTTAGATAATAATGTAGAATAGCAAACACAAAACAGTTTTATAATTTAAATATAGTATAGTAACTATTTTTAAGTTATTTATTTAGTGAATTAGTCACTATAGTATTTCATTGTGGTTACCTTACCCACATCTAGTTAATTGCTGAACTTTAGCCCAAAGCAGAGGAAGTCCCTTGCTTGGAAGTCTGGTATGACCTCAGGTCAGCCTGTGCAGACAGACAGAATCGTCATCCTCTGTTGCTGTTGAATTCCAGACATTTGAAGGGGATTTTGAAGTTCATAAAGGTCATATAGACAGCTTAGAGCAAGGCTATCCTATAACCACAGACTTAATATAATCTAGTAAGAGAACATGGCCCACATACCTCCTTTGATTTCCTGATATGCTAGCCAGCCCACCACAGTTGATGGAAGTGTGCCATACAGGAGGCTCGAGTATCAGCTTTCTATGTGGTTCAAATCTCCCACGGCAGGTTTTATTTTTGTAACACACAAGTCCTACTGTAACAACCTTGTGACATTTCAATATAGGGCATACTAAATCACAAAGTCTTATCAAGTATTTATTGGATATTTTCTTTACTGCTGTTTTGATAGGTGCAGCAATATAGCTGTCCCATAAAGCACATTACCTTTTGGGGGGAAAGGGTTGAACAAGTTTGATGAATACATGCCATACATCATAATTTCCTTTAAAGGATTAATGAAGAATGTACATGTATAGTTTCAAGTTTACATCTTTTATCATTCTAACAAAAATGTACTTTGTTTGAACTACGTTTAACCTTTTTTTAAATTTTTTATTTGATCAATTCTTAATTCAATCACAGTTGCGAAAGCCAGATGATAGATAAAGCTAGAGGCATACTTTTTGTTTTTAATATTTGATGCTGTTCTGTCTCCAAACCAAAGGAGCATCAAGTTGTTGGGCAAGGACTTTCAAAACACTTGTTTTGAAAGTAGGATATGATGAAAGTGGCTTTCTGTATTATGAAAGAAAAGAGTTACTGCTGGTAAAACTCACTTTATGTGAAACATAGATGTGTGTTACTAGAATTATATGTTGAAGCTTGGTGTTGATTTTTCTTTTTTCAAAAATGGTTTTGGTTTTTGAGTTTAAATGCAAGTGTGGCTTTGATATAACAGACCCTCTCATGGACACACTGATGACCGACCCTGTGATTCTGCCTTCGGGGAACATAATGGACCGATCCATCATCTTGCGCCACCTCCTCAACTCCCCCACTGATCCCTTCAACAGGCAGCCGCTCACAGAGAGCATGCTGGAGTCAGGTAACTCCACTAGTGATGTTTTTTTTAACACATTAATACAAGTAAGGATATTCTGTTCAAGATGGGCACAAAAACTGCTAAAAGCATTTCTTTACTATGAACAGCAAAGCAAATTTTTGTTATTAAAGTCAAGTTAGTCTATAAAACCTTAATGTCCTATAAAATGGCTTCCTGTTATGTGTCAGTGTCGCCTAATAACCCTCTTATCCTTTCACAGTCCCTGAATTAAAAGAGAGGATCCATACCTGGATGAGAGAGAAACAAGGCGGACGTCTTGTCTAAGGGCCCTTCTCTACCAGCATCTGCCCTGCTAACCATCATCAAGAGATTTGTCCAGAACGCCTGAATTCAGTGTCACTACAACAAATGACAAGCAACAACATTTTGAGGGGAAAAAAGGAGACCTGATTTGATTTTTATTCGCATTTACCCTTTTTGTCTCAAACCATTATCATGGTTCTAAAAACAAAATATAATAAAGTTAAGACTTTTAAGTTTTTCTTTCTCATGAGTTTGTGTATATATAACAAAATATATACATATATTTAACTAGAGTTGGTAAATGCATTATAATGCTGCAAGTTTCCACCACCAACGGATTTACCAGCGAGGTGCATTCACTTCATTGATCATTTTCCTTAATGGTTCTCATTTTGTTTTTTAATACTGTGTATGTTCATCAAACACTTAAAAGGGAGAGGGAAGGGTCATACATTTGGGAGAGTGCGGGTGGGTTCGGATACATTTATTAGCCCTAATTTTAATTATCAAGACTGTGAGAATTATGAACTTGAGTCCTCGTAATGTATGCTGGTGTCCCAGAAGTAACGGATGCACAGTTTGTGCTCGTAGACTAAGTTCAGACTTGGGAATATCCATTAAGGATGTAGCTAAATGTATAACTAACCTTAATGTCAGCTTAATTTTGAGTACAGTAGGAAGATAAGCAGTGGTTTTCCAGAATACAGTATGTTCGGTTGTTCATTTTAAGTCACATTTTCCCTGCTGACTTTGATAGACTGAATTTACTTCTTGTGTGTGTGTGCATGGCCTCAAGTGCAGACTCTCCTAAGCGCCTCATGGACAAATTCACCCTCTTTAGGCAGAGTGGAAGGAACATGAGAGAATGTAGCATGACCACAAGTAACACCTATGTAGGAGCACACCATTAAAAGTTTGCTCTTCAGAATCACTGACATCTCACCTCAAATGGTCTCTTTCAAATGGCACTGTACCTAACCTGACCTTGCTGACCTTAACTGTACAGGAAATTAATCCTTTATCCCCACACCTGTTTTGGAAGCTAGGATTTTGAACTGAAATAAATGATGATGCACATTATTTTCAACACTCGTCACTGTTTTTTCCCCAGATTGAAGCGTCCTTTAGTGTTTTTTACCCTGCCTAACGTTTATTGGGGGTTATGTTATTTGACTTTGAGAAAAGCACCACAGAGAAAATGCCAGTGACTAAAAGCATACTAAAAGATTTTCCTGCAGCAGTTCTTTAAGTGAAGAGGGTGAACATCAGCAATCCTGCTGACTTGTTATAAACATTTAGAATAAAAATAAATATGCAATCAAGTCACACTGAAAAGTGAAAATAAAGACTTTCAGGTTTAGTTAAGATTTAATGAGTCATCATTTTACCTTGGCACTTACAATTATGATGGAGCAGATGTAAGATACACTAGTTCCTGGTAGAACACCTTCTTTGGGTTGTGGTTTCCCAAAAGCTGAAGTTTAGTCATTCTACTGTAATTGTTATACTAATGGATTAAACTTGGCAACTGTCCTGAGAGTATTGGCAATGTTTTGAATACAATAAGGGTAAATTAGTACAGCGTTTCTGTTGAGAAGCAGTGTATCCCATAGAAAAATGATTGTGTTGTAAGTACTGACACTTGACATTTTCTGTACACCATGAAAAAATACCCCCCAAAAATATGTGTAACCTCTAAGATAAAATCATTCAACCCACTAAAAAACAGAAGTTGTGTTTGCTGGTGTGCTTTATTGAATAGTTTTTTTTGGAGACATGGTTGTTGAAATGAACTGTGCCCGTCTATGTGTTGGGACACTTGATGATGATACATGCCCCCTGTTTCTCGCTAGACGGCGCTCTTTGCGATGACCGGTGTTGCGGTGCGGGGAGCGGTGGGTAGAAATCCTGCAGTGTGGCGTCACGATCGAAAAAAAACAAAAAAAACAAAGTGACCCCACCCACTTCCGATGCTGAGGATCACCATTTGCTCCGTGGAACATTAGTCACAGACATCTCTTCGCTGATTGGTCCGTCGTGCTGTCGGTCAAGCGTGGGCCGCGAGGGAGTTGACGTAATCTCTTCGGTAAATCAAGGCTATCTATCAATTCTTCTTTTCGCTTGTGTGCAGAGAGACATCCGCCTTGCATCTCAACTGGAAAAATAACCTCACCAGAGAGTCACAGCTTTATTCGGCGGAGGATACCGCTATGATGGGTGTTTATCACGAAAGCGGACTTAATTACAGTTTTCGTGCTCGTGGATTTAGATAAAATAAAACAACAAAAAAAACAACAACACATCTTACCGCCCGCGAGCTAACGTCACTTCTATCCTCTGCATGTTTTGATCTTGACGAGTGTCTTCAGACGTGAGTAAACCATGAAATAACATCATTTGTATTTGTATTGTTAATGTATTGCGATGCACTGGGTTGGTGTTGTGCATCCCAGGCAGAAGTGTCTGGTAAGCAGTTCTCTGTAAGCTAACATGTAGTCACAGACGTGCCAATGTCTTGCAGCCTATTCCTCCGTTTTGTAGTCCTGGTAGTATGCTATTACAGCTTTTACGATTAAACTCCTACTTGGTTCGCGAATTGGGATACAAAATATACATTTAATTTATTCATTTAGTAGTTATATCCGTCAGAGAAACTGAAGTGACAGCAGGGGGGGGGTGCATTTCATTTACGGCTTGAAGCTAACTCACAAGTACTGACTAATATATTTAAGATTTAAATATTGCATTTGAAAGGTTGTTATGTTGGATTCCCTCAAAAGCCTTCCGTGCAGGTTACATACGGCACATAGCGTCGAGTCTGTGCCGCTAAAATAAGCAATGCAACTCCTCCCTGCACACTTCACAACACACAGCAGCAGAGGATTAGCCTACTTCCTTCATAACGTTGCAAATTAAATTTTTATAAACGAAATGTTTAAGCTCTCCGTCCGCACAGAGAGGTCACTGTCAGATACCGCACAGAGGCCCCGCTCACTTGTCCCGTTGAAGCCTACACAAAATTGGGAAGATAGAATTTCATGGGCGTATGCTTTAGCAAGTATGGCTGACTTGCAAGGGCATGGAAAAACATCACACTGGGCATATGTAGTCAGGGGACCGCAGGATGTGTGGACTGAATTTACAGTGAACACACAGCAAATGCATTTATTAAATGAGAAGTAATGTGTCGTTCATGCTGCCAAATTAGTCCATGCATGTTCATATTCGATTTAACAAAGAGCTTGTTTTACATGAACTACAGAATTATACATGAAATAAATGACCTCAAATTGTTTATTACTGTTGATGTCTAAGTGGCTGCAGTTTACAAAAAACTTAAGCTTCAGTGGTTTTGGTCGGCCATATTTGTTGTAGGCTGTTATGACCTGAAATAGGGAGGGGTTGTGCTTTCAATTGTGTTTGTGTTACATTTTGTGATGATGGGTTCTGCACTATTTCTGAGTGGCATTTTTTTTGTTTGTTTTTATTTACTATGGAAAGAAAAGCTTTGAATGCTAGATATTGCTTTTGCAACCATGCCATTTTTCCATGTTTACTTTAGGAAGGACATTAAAGGAAACTTACCTGGAGCCTAAACTGCAAACATGTCTGGGGCATCTGTAAAAGTCGCCGTCCGTGTACGGCCCTTCAACTCAAGGGAGATGAGCAAGGACTCAAAATGTATCATTCAGATGCAAGGGAACACTACAAGTAAGTACTCGGCTTGAACGCAGACACACACACACATTAAGCCATTTCATTTTGAATTTGTTCAGGCTTCTCTGCTTCGGAAAAAGTTTGGTATACCACACATGCTCCTGCTTGATTTTCCATCAGGGGTCTTGGCTTAGAACAGTAGAATGGGCGCACTGAATAGGCGACGGTTGGGGACAAACAGCCTGAAAGAGAATAAAAGGCTTACAGAGTGAAATTCCTCCTCCTCCTCTGAAGGGGCCTGCATGCCTTGGGAGACTTTGTGTGAGAAACGCTGAGTTGGATCATACTGGGAGACCCAGGGGTCGCCACACAGCATGGCCTGTGTATTCATCAAGGCTTTATCACACAGTTGGTGGTTTTAGAATGCATTTGATATTACAATGTAGTTTATGATTATGTTATCTCTTACTCTACACAAACAGTTTGTAAAAGTTATGGCGAGGAATGAATCATTTACATGTTTGACTGCTTTTCATTTTACAGTACATCGCGGGGTAAAACTGAAGATGTAATGCCAAAGTTGATCAGGCCTTCTGACATTAAACAAATCAGTTTAAGTTTTGATATGTTGCAGTGTCAGCAGATGAGTCTAACATTAAACAACATATTACTGGGACCAGTATTCTATAGATGCATTTAAAATGCTTCCCAAAACTTAAATTATGTATGGAGGTTTCGTCTTAGTCACTGTTGGCTTTGCATGTGTGAAAGATATATGAAAATGGGGCTTCAAAATTATTTTAAATGCTTATGGGCAGATCTATGAACTTAAATAAAATCCCCACTAAAATAAGACTTTATACGTCTAACTCTTGGAACGTGTCATGTAAAAATAGTCATGTAATGGTTGAATCATTTTGCACATTGATGAATCATTGTGCGAAAAACTATTCAAAGTCTTTATGGAAATCTGTGATAAACCCACATTTCAGTTGTAATTTTGGAATATGTAAGAATATTTATATGACAGGATAGATGTAGCAAAGCAAGAGGACAAGACCTGGATGTGGTTTGCAGTCTTGTGATTCAACCTGCCCTCTTGTGACTGTGAGTCATCAGGTGGAGTAAAGTGCTATGCTAGCAGCCTCCTTACTCATGGCTGTGCTCTGCCCCATTTAAACTGGCAGGTGAACACAGTCTCCATGACGGTAGCGTGTACTTTTGGAACAGTTACAAGACAGCTTGTTAAGTCAGAAACCTGTTCTTCCAGCACATTCACTCAGTTGGTTTGAGTTCTGTCTGTCAGTCTTACTGGGTTCATTAGACTAAGCCTTTATGAATCTTCCATAAGATCCAGTTATGGCTCACTTGCCTTCATCTCTCAAACTCTACCAAAGAGAAGCTTTGTAATCCTCAGTTCTTTTACTCCATATCCTCCAGTTTTCACTATGCCAATGTCACTTGGAGGTGCTGGAGGGTGACTCTTGGTTTGTAGCAGAACTGCAGAGGAATATGCAGTGTTTTGGGGGGGTTAGTGTGTGAGTGTGTAAACGAAGGAGAGGAGGAGGAGGAGGAGGCTGCAGTACTGCCTACTCTACCTCCTATCACATGGGCAGATTGCAGAGCTGAAAGGGAGGCTGGCAGGAGGCCATACTCTCCCTTCATCAGGACTTCATTGCAGATGGTATGCTGAGAATGCTCTCTTATTTGGCCCTTGAGAGGTTAAACAGTACCTAGATGCTCTAACCTGCACAGATTCTTACACGCAGTTAAAATTATTTGACATGCAGTGTGACGTGCTAACCATTCTGCAGTTGTGGTTTCCTGGTTTCCCAGTTTCCTAGAACTTTTCACAATTTGTCCCACAGTCGGTTATATTTTGTCTTTAAAATCTAATAGATGTCAAAGACATGATGACTGTCTCCTCAGTGTTTAAATGGATGGCAAAACTTTTTTTTAAATGACTGTGAATTTAATGGCAAATTGCATCCTTATTTGGATCTTCAGTGCTCTCTTTAATGCATTGCAATGTGATCCATTTTCATACTAGTTGCATGTAATTTACAAAAAAACACAAAATCCAAAAACATAAATCCAACCAAGAGTCATCACAACTTTATTTTCTCATCCTAAAATAATTTCTCTTATGAGTGGCTACAAAATGTCCCTGGGGTTTTACCTCTCTCAGATTTATAATCATACGTTCCCATTTCAACATTTCTTTTTACAACCGCAGAAGTACAAGAACCTCCATCGAATATTTTCAAACTACTTTCATCACATCCGATGATTTAACTTTTTAATTGAAAGGATACTCACATTGAATACTTTGGTCAAATGTTGTTTAAAAAGCTGATTCAATCTGAATCAGTGTCGTAGTGCTAGCATGAAATAAAGTGCACGATCCCTTTTGGATTTCTATT